GTTGCTGTTCCGTTGTGGGATTGCAGTCTCGCCGTTTTCGGTTCGTTATGCGATCCGTCGTCGGTTTGTTTTTAATTGCAGTTATGAATGTTTTGTCGGTTCTGCCACTTGGTTCTTGTCTTGGGTTGGTGTTATTTGTGTGTGTGTTGGGTTGTTGTTTTTCGTTCGTTTGAGGCCTGGTCGGTATCGTTTTCAATATGTGTCGGGTTGCGTTGTTTTTTGGTGTTGGTCAACCGCAACACGAAAAGTTTAAGACGGAAGCAAAAACGCCCCAAGAGTTTTATTCACACCCCTCCTCCCATTCTCAGGGAGTTCGAGATTCGACGTTCCGCTTACGGGGTTAGTGGTTCGAGGTTGGAGGAGTGAGTCAGGGAGCACAAGCGCACGTTGCCCGTCCGTCCAGGGGCATTAAGATTTCATGGGGGCTAGAACCGCGTCCAACGAAAGTGGGCTCGAGCACGAAAGCGGCAGCGCGTTCGACGGCTCTCGCCGCTTTTTGTTTAGCCTCCCGATGCCTTCAGCGGTTGCGCCTCGCCGAAAGCGTGCCGCTGCGTTCCGCCAGTGAATCGTCCCAAATGGCCCTCAGAGACTTGAGTTATGGCCCGGAACACGCGAGCTAAGAGGAGGAAAAGCTACCCATATCACTACCCTCCCTTCGTTCTCCCATTTTTGGGCCTCCTGGGCCTCCGTCCTCGCCACCGCTGGATTCGCCTCGAAATCCTGGTCAGAACGCACCCCAGGAGAGGTCCGGGGAGTGGCGGTATCGGTACCTTTTGGTGTCCCCAGCGAGCTGTCTGCACATACCGACCGAGTACTTGGAGTAAAGTTTCTGGTTGTCTTTGCGGCTTCTCGCACGGGCCCAGTCTACTGTCCAGGCACCTGCGCGAAAGTGTCCGGGTCGGCCTTTCGCGGGTGCTAGATTTTTGTCAGTTTGAGCGTGGCGCGGGGCAGCCTCCACGAGTGGCAGCGAGCTTCTCCCCTCTCCTGTTGCTGCCGCCGCTCTTTGGCGGGGGAACACCAGGAAGCCAAAGGGCAGCGCCAGGGGGGGATTTTGGCCGAAGGGGCGCGACGCATCGCCGGCGGGGGCCGCACGGCCCTCCCCGCCAAGGTCAGTGCGGTTTCGCCGTCGGGGGCCCTATCGCCAATCCGTCGGCGATGTATCGCCGCTTCCATGTCTACGTCACCTCCCCCAGAGTTGTGCTACTCCAGCCCACTTTCTAGCCTCGACCACCAGCAATCATTATTGACGCTCTCGGCCACTGACTCCGCTCGGTCCACCGCGTCTCTCGAGCCGCAGCGCAACTCGCTCCCGTGCGCTCTTGTGCGGAATTGTGTCCGCTGCTCGTTAGCCGCGTTTCTTGACGGCGCCTGGCATTCCTGCGCGCTCGCGAACGGAAAAGTATCCCCACGGGCCGCTGCCTTCATCACTGTTGTTTCTTTTGCTTCGGCGCGGCCCGCCCTAGCTTTGCCCGGCTTTCGGCTTGCTTCGCGAGGCCGCGGACCAGCGGCCATTTCGAGCCGTTTTGGAGTGGTCTTGGGGCCTCTTGGAACATCTTATGAGCCCTTTTGAGCCAGCTTGGGCTATCTTGAGCCATTTTGGAGGTCGTCTTGGGCTCTCTGAGGCCGCTCGGGAGCCTCTTTGGGGCCTTTTCGGGGGCCTCTTGGAACCTTCTTGGGGCCTCTTGGGGCGCTAGTGGACCCCTCTGGGAGGCCTCTGGGGAACCCTGGAGGGCCTTTTGGGGCTATCTTGGAGGCGGTCGGTCAAAAGAGGGAGAAGATTCGGTTCAGGTCCCCCCATCGGGGGCCACGATCCTCGTGAGGGGTGTCAACACATGGCCCTCCCAATGGCCGAAAAAAAGGCCTCCGACACTTCGCAATCCCTCCCAAACATCATCAGGGAGGGGAGGGGGAGGGTTCCCCTCCCCGAAGGGAAGGTGGGTTGTACAGTGCCTTATGTAGCTCCGTCGCCCTTTCTTTTCTCCCGTTCTCCCCTGCCCGCCTTCTTGAAACGGACGGAACCAAATCGACCAGCGTCAGGCGAGTGAATTCGGATTCGATCTGCGGCGGCATTCGGTCTGTCACCACACCATTTCATACTATACAACCCAGTCGCATGGGGAATGGTTCAGATGTTTCAAGCAGGAGCACACACACGGATTAGAGGAGGGCCTCAAGGAAAGAATTCGGGTCATCGGCCGAATTTGGTACCTTCGATCGAATTGGCGCATATGCCCAAAAGGAGTGCACGGTCGACAACAGGGGCAATCTGCGGAAGTGATTGAGATGCACGTTGGCGTTAAGAGGGGGCATTGGCCCCACCATCGGACGGCGCATCAAAGGATTCAGACCTTGAAGCGGGATTTTCTTGAATGCATCGTGGCCGTTGACAGTCGCACCACCACCATCCTTGAAGAGGAGGAGGAGGAGGAGGAAGAGGAACGGGGAGAGGGATGAGGAGGAGGAGGAGAAGGAAAAGGAGGAGGAGGGGGGGAGGGTGAGGGGAGGAAAGAATTAACTTACTTCGGGGGCGGGCAGGGGCGTCATTCTGGGCGGCGGGAGGGGGGTGGCTGGGGCGGCAGCCGTGGTGCATGGGTTTCAGCTCTCCCCCCTCCCTGGGAGGGCCGGGCTGGGGCCCACGCTCGGGCCGCCTCCGCACCCGCACTCAGGCCGCAGCAGATAGTCGCCTTCCACCCCTGTTCTCTGCATTCGCATCATACGTTGCGCCCACCGTTGGGTCGGTCCCCTCTGCTCTTTCTCTCTCTCTCTCTCTCTCGCCTCCTTCGATCAGGCAACGAGATCTATACACATCCACTGCTCCTGGTCAGGCCAACCCTGGGCCCAGGAGCGGTGTGTATGCTTCCCTGGCCAGGCCAGGAAGGCCTATACACCGCTCCTGGACCCAGGATGGGGGTGGCTACGAGCAGTGGGTGTGTAAGTATAGATCTCGTCGCCCAGGATAGAAGGGGCCAGGCCCGGAGCAGTGGCTATATGCATAGATCTCGTCGCATTACCCTACCCTCCCACCATCTTCGCCCGTCGGGAGGGGTCGAGGTCGTCGACCACCCGTGGTGACTCCGCGCTTCCAAATCCCAGACCCCCGACGTCACGATTTCTTTCACTAACATCGAACCCCAGAGATCTGGAGCCACTGCCCTGGACCCGCTTCTCATCCCGAGTCGTCTTTCTGACGGCCCTCAAGTCGGGTGAGGGAGGCCGGAAGTAGCGGGACAGAGCAGTCGTGCTCTGTTCACGACGCGATGGGGCGTGGGATGGACGGTCGAGGGGGGGGGGGTGGACGGGGCGACGTCGTCGTCGCCGTCGCCGCCGCCGTCGCCGTCGTCGGCGTCGCCGCCGCCAGGGGAGAAGGCCGCGGACCCCCCCCCGCCAGGAAGTGCGGCGTGCGGTGGCTGCGCTTCGGCCGGACGGGGTGCGGCCGGATGGGCCCCCGCACGCGCGACGGCGCCGCGGCCCCAGCCCCGCGAGGTCGCCTGCTCCCGGCCGGTCGGCCACGCGGCTGGCCGGACCTCGTTCGGGCACGCGCAGAGGGGGGTGTAAAACGACAGAAGATCGGGACAAAATCGGATCGGGATAGCTCGAAATCTCTGAGAATCGGCGGGTTTGGTGGATGTATGGGGCGCCGCGGCCGCTCCAGAGCGTTCCGGAACGCTCTGAGAGCGCTCCGGAACGCTCCGGAGCGATTTATCCCGATCCTAGCCTTGTTTTAGGGTGGGGTTAAGGTCAAACAGTGGCGAGGCGTCCTGGCTCGCCTACAGCCCCACCAAACAGTGTTCTAAGAACCGTTTGTGGTTTCCACGAAATGTTCTTAATCGTTCTCAGAATATTTCTAGCGGAGGCTGTTCCGTTTTATCACATTGGGTTTATGTTCTAAGAAAGCTGTTTCTGTTCTTAGAACGTTTTTGGGTTCTGAGAACATCTCGTGGTAGGACTATAGGGATGCCGGGACGGTCGGTCCCTGCTCAAGAAGGGCTCGGCTGCGCGAAGAGTGGGGTGGGGGGTCTGTTTTCGGCGGTGTTCGTTGGCTCTCGGCGGTTTTCCAGCCTCGGGACGCTCTCCAGCACCGCATGCGCCTCGCCGAGAGCGTTCCGTGGGTGTCCGGATCGACCCAAACGGCCGCCTGAGGCACGAGCTCTGGTCCGACAGCCGCCGCCACGCGCAGCGGGGGGGGGGGGAGGGGGGAAGGCGTGGAGGGGGGGAGGCGTCTTAGAATCACCTCTGCTTCTCGGAAGGCGTGGGCCTCATCTACCCATCTATAGACGTAAGGCCCGCTCCGTCTAAGAAGCAGCTTTCTTCTGAGAAGCCTTTCCCCCCCCCCCTCACCCCTCCGTGCGCGCCGCCAGTCAACTTTTGGCGCGCGAGTGGGTGCTCGAAGGGTTCGAGGTTTGAGGTTGTCGGAAAGGCTCGAGGTCCGAGGTCTTCGGACTGCTTCGTCGGGTCTCGGCGGCTTCCGGTCTCAGGATGCTCTCCAGCGGATGCGCCTCGCCGAGAGCGCTCTGCAAGGGCTCCCTCGAGGGCGTGAAGTTATTCGCGCTTCGCGCTTCGCGGTCCTCGTTCCTCCTCCCCCTCCTCCTCGTCCTCCTCTTCTCCCCTTTGGGGGGGCGGCGCGAGAGCGCGAAGTTATTCGCGCTTCGCGCAGCGCGAAGCGCGAACTTAGGAGCCCTTGGCTCTGGGGGTGCCTGGATCTTCCAGAACGGCCGCGAGAGAGCCGGGTTGATTCTGGCCCGTAGACTGTCGAGATGGGGAATCATGAGGCTCAGGGGGAAAGCATCGACTCCAGATCGCCCACAGATCGCCGATGGGGGCTCCACCACCCCTCCAGGACCGTGCGGACTCGCCAATCGCCGATCCATCAGCGATGTGTCGCCGCTTCCAGGTCGACGTTCTCCCCCCGCGACGGTGCCCATGAGCCTGTTTTTCTTTATATCCAGGCAAGCTAACTTGCATGGCGTTCGCCCCCCCCCCCCCATCGCTCCTCTTCAATCGAACACGAACGTGCAAGTGTCTTTCGACTTGCGTGATTCCCGCACGTCGAATTGTTTTCGGCTTGCTTCAGATTTAGTTCTCCCTGTTCATGCAAGTAAACTTGCCCGGGGCCAAAAAAAAACAGGCTCCATTCTCGCTGCCCATCGCCTCGTGTGTGTAAGTATTCGAGGCGAGGCAGCGGCGGCCCTCCCCGGCGCCTTTCGCGCCCGTGTTTCTCGGAGGTGGATAGGCCTCCTACACTTTCGGCGATGTTTAAGACAACCCAAGTTTTCGGCCAGAGTCTCGATTATTCTTAATTTTTCAATGTAAATCCTAAGATTTTGATAGAAATGTTGGGTTTTTATTCAAGTTCTGAGACTATGAATTTCTCAACCCATGATTTCTTAAGCATTTCGCAGGGTGTACCTTGACACGTCGATGAAGGAATTGGCCGTTTTCGGTTCGCGAGAGGGCGTCGCGGCCGTCGTTTCTGCGGGTCCAGGTCCGTCGGTTTCGGTCCCAGGCCGTTTTCACTAGGGGGAGGTTTCCTAAAGGGAGGTTTGTGTCCACCGCCGAAGTGGGGGCCCATGCCAAGAAACACCCCGCTCGCATCCAGAATGCCCTGGGTTTCTCGGGGTTCGATGGTTCATCCATGGAAAGCGTGACGTTCCCACGCCAAAAGTCAACGGACTTCCTGCGGTCTCAGGGTTGGGTTGCCTGTGGGAGGTTTCTTGTGGACTGGCCTCCGCTGTAGTCGCCACGAATGCATCCGTCCCGAGACACGGGTCGGGATGGACCCCGGGAGGTGTCCGTGGATGGCTTCTGAGCGGATCTGGGCTGGGCGGGAGAGCCGCCTCTGTCTTCGGTATGGTTTAGCCGACCCCCTTTATCCCCCTCCCCACCTTGGCATCGCTCGGACGTGTGCATTTTTCCTTCGGCGAGGACAATCGAGGAGCATCCTTGATCATTTGGCGAAACAACCACGCACGGAACCGAAAAAAACACGGGGAATGGACGTCCGAGCGATGGCGAGCCACCCCCATCCAGACCCGCGCCATCGGACCATCCCAGTTGGGGATGTGCCCATCGAACGCCGGAGGAAGTCGGCCTCTATCCCCCATCTGGAGGGGTGGATCGGCCAGTGGGGCCCAGGCCACGCCCATGGGGGTAGGGGTCGTTTGACGAGGCCCATGTTCCAACTGAAGGACGCAAACAACGGGGTCGTCTGCTCCGAAATTGGCGCGTAAGCTGCGCGCGTCAGGTCGCGCGTAGGCGCCCTCGTCTCCAACGTCGCGTTCCGCGCTGGCGGCCCGCGTAAGCCGGCGAGTGAGGTTGGTACGTCATCTCGCGTGAGACCTTATTTTTTCCGTCGCTCGATTGGCTCCCCGAGCTGCTGCTTGCCGTGCTCGGCCTCTCGGGGGTCCCCCTTTGGGCTCCTCGGGCGGTGGCTCCCGGAGCCCAAAGGGCCAAGGGCCCGCGCAGGCCCCTGGTGCGGTGGTCCCTGGCGCCCAGTCGCTCCCAGAGCCTCGGGGCTCGGCCACGCTTGGCACAATCGCAGAAGGGGGGGAGGAGGAGGAGGAGGAGGAGGAGGAGGAGGAGGAGGAGGAGGAGGAGGAGGAGGAGGAGGAGGAGGAGGAGGAGGAGGAAGAGTCGTGAAAAATCACGGCGGAGAAGGGGGGGGGGCCATACACGGGGGAGGGGGGGGGGGCGCGAGGGTTGCAGGAAAGGGGGCCTGCAGATGCCCTAAAGGAGCCCCTATCAGGGCCCAGAAGAGCGCCCTTCGGGGCACAAGAGGGGGCCCTGGGTGCCCGAGAAGTGCACTGTTCTCCCCCCCCTATGTATCACCCCACCACTAGGCGACGCCCAACAAGCGCATTGGGGGGTAGGGGGAACGGGGAGGACTTCTTCGAAGCACCCCTGCTTCTTAGAAAGCTCGGGCGTGATCTGTAGATGTAGGGCCAGCGCCTTGTGAGGCGCAGCCTCCTTCCAAGACGCAGCCCCTCCCTTGTCCCCCCCCCCCTGCCTGCGCGCGCGGCCACACGGCGCGGGCGACGGGGTCAGCGCAGACGGGCAGCGACGGGGCGGCGACGGCTGCCGCGTGGCCGCCAGAGCGGCAGGCAGACAGGCCCAGATGGTGGGCGGCGGCGGGGCGGCGACGGCGGTCACGCATCCGCCAAACCGAAGACACGGCCCAGTTCCTTCGGACAGGGGTAGGAAACCCTAAGGGCAAGCGCCTGCGGGGAAGCACATCCATATGCATATATATACACACATATATACATATGTAAACATGTACACATGTACATACAGACAGTGGTAAAGAGAGAGATGCATAAGCCGATGCATATACATACACAGTTGCGCACATCTTTATATGGTATAGATCTCGGAACAGAAAAACGGACTAGGAGGAGGACTACGGGGACGCCGATGGGCGTGACGCCGACGACGAGGTTGACACCGAGGAGGAGCACGCCGACCGAACCCGCAGTGGCTGGCCGTGTCAGGGGCTACGCCCTGGTTTGGTTGGTGCTTGGGGCCCAAGCGGAGAGCTGTCTTGTGAGTCCAGGCGTCTGTCGACTTGGGTTGTCCCACAATCGACTGTGAAGGTGGAGGGGCAGGACGAGGATGAGGAGGAGGAGGAGGAGAAGGAGGAGGGAGGAGGAGGAGGCGGAGGAGGAGGAGGAGGAGGAGGGGGAGGAGGAGGAGGAAGGATTGGATGCTACATAATCAGAGGTAAGGACATTAGGTCAACTAACCGTGGACGCGGATCCTGGGGCCCTTGCTCAGCACGGGCCCCCTCAGCCCCCCCTTCCCCCCTTTGTTTCGTTCCTTACCTGTCCTCCCTCTTCTCGCGAGTGCGGCGCGCGAGCCGTTCCAAGAAGGAGCTAGAGGAGGCTACGCTCCATTATCACTTTCTCTCCTCCTTTACCTTGCATGGGTAGACTCTATGAATCCTTGCGGGGCGAGCGAGCGAGGAGGAGGATGGAGGCGGAGGAGGAGGAGGAGGACGAGGAGGAGGATCGTTTTAGGCGACTCTGGTGCGCCTTCGGCTCGACGCTTTCCTCCCTTTCCGACCGCAGACGGTTAGCGCTTGCGGCGCAACCCGCGGAGTCCAAAAGAGGAGGAGGAGGAGGAGGAGGAGAACGGAGGAGGAGGAGGAGGAGGACGAGGAGGAGGAGGAGGAGGAGGACGAGGACGAGGAGGAGTAGGAGAGGTCGACGAGGGATCGAGGTGGAGGGGTCGAGGGGGAAGGGTCGTGGAGGCTTCGGCGAGGTGGGCGCGCTGAGGCTCGGGTGAACACGGACTGGCCGCTGAGAGTGGGCTTTCTCTGCGGGAACATCACGATCCTCTCGAGGCGCCTGGCCGGTCAACGATTGGGTGTCTCATCTCCCCCTCCTGCATTCCCCCCCCCTCCCCTAAAACAGGGCTAGGATCGGGATAAATCGCTCCAGAGCGTTCCGGAGCGCTCTCAGAGCGTTCCGGAACGCTCTGGAGCGGCCGCGGCGCCCAGTACATCCTCCAAACCCGCCGATTCTCAGAGATTTCGAGTTATCCCGATCCGATTTTGTCCCGATCTTCGCGTCGTTTTAGCATTTCCCCCCCCCTCCCCATTGACGACAACGGTCGGACCGTGGTATAAGTTTGAGGTCGGTTCGGGGGGGTGCTCCACTGTTCTTCGTGTTGGTTGGGCGTTCTCGTGCATCCTGGGGGAGGGTACCCTCGAGTGATCTTCTGGTTTTGAGTGCTTTGGCTGGCGGTGGTGTTGTCCTAGGTCCGACTGTAAAACGGGTGTGATTACGCAGGGGTATGGTTTGCCATCGGCGCCGTTGGGGCTGAGGGTGAACGACAGTGTCCTCATCGGGCCTCCTCGGGGCGCGGCTGAGAACTCTATCGAGGTCCTCGCCCGCCTCCCCAGGGTGCTTCCCCGAGGTACTGGGTGCAAACCACACCCTTTACAAACCACACCCTTCGGAGTCGCCGACCCCATCCCGTATCAAGGAGCTGGTCCGCGAGTTGCGGTTTCCTTTCCTTTAGCATGCTTATTTGTCACCGCCATCTTAGCGAATTGCCCTGCCAAGCCTCCCTGTTACCTCTCCACCGCCCTCTCCTCTCATTCCTCTTCGCAGGCCTCCTTCAGCCTGCATGTGCTTGTGTGTCTTAACATGTGTGTAGTCTGGTTTGCTATCCCCTGCATTTTCCCAGGACGGATTCATCCGCACCCTCTTGCCGATGCTTGCGGCGGGGGCACTTCTAGTCACACGCTTGGTCTGCCTGTGGTGGCGATTCTCCGACCCCTCTCTGCCCTGGCCCCAGCAGGGAGGCCTCCAGTGAGGAGGGCCGGGGGGGGAGGTGGGCCGGGTCGGTCGCGGGGGCCCGGGGCCCCTCGGGGTGCACGGCGCACGAGCGTCGGCGCTGTCGGGGGTCAGCCAGTCCCGTCTTTCGGCGGCGGAACCCAAAACATACCCTCGCCGATTGACGATTCAGGCCACTCGATGGGCGGCGGGGGTAGGGTTCGGAGTGACTCGTGGGGCTTCCCCGAGAACGAAGCAGCGGAAGCTCAGAGTAATACGGAATCGTTGGCGGGCCAGATGGCCCGAACATCTCGACGGAATGATGTGGTGCTCTTGATTTGTTGAAAAATATGTCGGAAGATGATTGACAATTCGTTTGGCCCTGAATAGTTGTTCCAGACAATTTCGATCTTATTCCTGCTCGCCACCCTAATCTTTCATCGATCGGAGCATTTTTGAAGGGGGTAAGCTCATACGGCGGCGATCCGTCATGTTGTTTGTTTTGTTACGTACGTTCGGTTGACGGACTTAGTCTCAATCTTTAGAGCAACAGCAGAGCTTTCATTCGCACCGATAGATTCAGCAACCTTGCAAACTTCAGTTGAAAGCCGCGAGGGACCTGATATCGGTCTACCACCCGAGCTATTTCCGACGAGGTAGTATCATTATGCAAAAGTGTTTGCTCTATATAATTGTTTTTGGCCTGGATGTCGAGATTCAGACTGAGATCAGAGCTCTCTTTCTTCGTGCACACAGATACGATCAGTAGCTGTAGATCTGAGCTGGGTGAACAATTCGAGCTACGATCCAAACACGGTTCTCACGATGCAGTGCCTTCACTTAATTGAATAGTTGTTGACCAGAATCTCGAGATTCAGAGTGAGGTCAGGGCTCTGCCTACGTGAGCGAGGGTACGACCGGTCGTTTCGTTATGTCCCTTCCCTTTCATAGGCCTGAGCTCGGTCTGAATTCGAGCTCTGATTGAACAAACTACTATCACTCTGCATCCGCTCTGATGCTTTGCGCGGCCCTTCTGCGAAATATCGAGGTGTAGTGCCGCTACAGGGCTCTGGAAGGCAGCTTGAGCAGCGTTGAGGGCACCAGTCTGCAGCCTTGTGAGAGCTGAGATGGGTTTACTTCTCGGGTTTTCTGTGAAAGAACTAGTATTACTCTGCAACTGCTTTTGATATATCGAGAGTATGTGGCTTATTCTCGAGACTCCAAGTGAGCTCAGAGTTCTGTCATCTCGAGCACACGGGTGCGACCAGTAGTTTGGCTCTTCTACGACCAGAGACCTGAACTCGGTATGCGACTCGAGCTATGATCGAAACACGGAGCTCACACTACAACTACTGTGCTGATGTGCGCGGTCCTTCTGCTAAATCTCGAGATTTCGAGCAGGCACAGGGCACTCGATCTCAGCAACCGATTCAGCAGCAGCGGAAGCAGCAGTTCACAGCCTCGAGAGACTTGAGTGAGCGGAATTATCTAGAGGCGTCTGTGTTCGGGTAGAAGCTCTACGAGTCCGCCAGTGGTAGCCATGGTTGACGGTTTTCCGCCGGCGCCCAGTTCGTCGAACACGTGGGGACATGCCAATTTTACCCTTGCCTTCATCGATTCGGAAGAATCGATGCTTGGTGGGGGTGGGGTTCGGCTGTCGCCACCTACTCTGGCTGACCTGGGTCTGGGAGCCGGTGTGGGGCCGATTCCCTGTGTCTGCCCTCTGCTGATCCAGGTCTGGGAGCTATGAAGCGGCTGGCCGCTCTGCGCGACAGGGCCCCGGCCGACCCAGTTTGTGCTGACCTGAGCCAGTGCGTCTTCGAGCCCGACGTGGCGGGGGAGCGCGGCCATCTTCGGGGGGTCATCGGGCAAAGAAGGGGGTATGACTCATTACGCTGCCCCCCCTTGGGAGATCTGAGAAGTTGCCAGCCGAGGCGCTCTTGAGGCGCTACTGGGCGCTCTTGGGCCGTCCTGGGCCCATTCTGGGGCCGCCTTAAGGCTATTTTCGGCCATCTTGAAACCATTTGCAGGCCTCACCAGCCCATCGGAGGAGAAAATGCAAGAAACTTCAACACCTATGGCATTGGGATGTGGCGCTCTCTGCGGAGTCTCTGGAAGGCTCCGTGGCCACTTGGAGCCGTCGTGGGATTATCATGTCGCCTCGTGGAGGCATTTTGGAAGCTATATTGAGCCATTTGGGCTTTGCGGGATATTGAAGGCTCTCTTGGGCTGTATGGGGCCCTCTGCGAGCCATCTTGGGCCATCGTGGACGCTCGGACCGCTCGCGAAACGCCAGACCCAGTGAGAAGGGGGAGGGCGAGAGGTAGGCGTCTTTGTGGAGGAACCGAGGAGTTTGGGAGAACAAACTCCCTGAGCTACCAATTCCCAATGGGCTGCTCGGACTTGGACCAGCATTTCACTGCTATCAGCGTCTGCGGGGCCCATGGTACGTTTTTCTTTGTCTGCCTGTCTTCAATCTGACCTGCTGGCGGTGCAGGCGGCACCTCAACCACCTGATGTACTTGGTGTTGGACCTGCTTTTGATAGGTACTCCAGGGCTTCAACCCTTGGAGGACAGGCCAGGTGTTCTCCTTCTCATCCTTCTCGTCCTCCTTGTCCGCGATGCGTTCTCCCTCGCCGTTCCTTCTCCCTCCCATACTGCATCCGCCCAGGAGGGGGAGGAGGAGAGGAAAGCGGGAATGATCAAGTGGTCTGGTTCAATTCGGTCTGGCTCGGCCTCAACGCGCCGGTTGGAGTCGTTCCGGGTTTCCAAAACGGCTTGTCCATGTTGGCTTGGTTTGGATTCAACTCTGGCTCAACATGCTATTGGTTCGGTCCGTTTCGGTTCAGTTCGGCCGGTTCTGTTCGGAGGAAGACGTATCCCAAAAGCGTGTACAGCAAGCAGCCAAGCAACGGGCTGGACATACCGATCACTTTACATTGGTGAACGAGATGTCTCAGAATCGCGATGCGTGATGATCTCACATCCCAAGTTTGCATACATGGTCAGAAATGATCGGCACGACATTGACACTCTTGCAGGAGCAGAGGGTGAGGAAGGCTTCGGGGTTGGGGAAAGTTGAAACTGTGGAGGAAGAGGGTAAGTGAAATGTGGAGATCGGACTTTCAGGCAGATGAGGTGAGAGGAATGAAGAGTGAGGGCAGGAGGCGGAGGACGCATTTCGAGGAGTGGGGAGGGGGACCGAAAGTCGGCAAATTCATGACAGAAGTCGTACGTGAGATGAGGAGTAGGGATAAGGAAGGCGGGATAACGTGAGGGAGGGGAGGGACGGACGGTGAAGGGAGTGAAGCGGGGTAGTTAGGAATGAAAGCTAGGTAGGCTGGGAGGGGGGGGGAGTGGAGGAGGGATGGGCTGCTGTGGTGGCCCAGGCTGGGAGCTGGTCAACCAGCAGACCTACACGATGTTGCTTGTGATCGCCAACTTTGCTTGTGTCACCGTCTCAAATAGTTGTCCCTCATTCCGCGCTTGCAATTTGTCAAGTAGGGAAGCGGTTGCAGAATTGGTGCACCCCCAAGGATCCTATCTTCGCCGTACCTGCGTTCAAGATGCGTATCTCGTTTGCATGTCTGCGAACCTTCTGCGCATACGCTCGCAGGCTCGACGAACCAATCGGCTATGGGGTAAGTCAGTTCTACAGTCGATCCCCTGCTCGACGTTGCCCTCCTCCGCCCCCCGGAGCGAAGCGAGACCAGGGAGAGCAGCGGCAGCGTCGACCGAGACAGCAGGAGGCAGACGGTGCGGAGAGGGCGGCACCGTCCCCGCCCGCTTCGCCTTCGGTGTTTGCTCTTGGAGGGCGGTCGGTTGCGAGTTGACCTTCTGGGTCCTCGCGGCTGACTGAGCTTTAGCTCCGCAGGCGATCTTGGCGTCCCCTTGGAGAGAGAGAGAGAGAGAGAGAGAACGAGAGAGAGAGAGAGACAAAGAGAGAGAGAGAGAGCGAGAAACATACATATATATACAGAGAGAGAGAACGTTGTAACGGAAGGGAGTTGGAGAGATAAAGACAACGTGCAACAACAAACACAAACACATCTCGCGTTAGATGAGGACGGGATCTACACACATATATATATATAGGCACAGAGAGAGAGGGAGAGGGAGAGAGACATAGAGAGAGCGGCGCGCGGGGAGGAGAATGGTCGCCTGCTTCTGCGGTGCGCCGCCGGGCTCGGTGCAGCTCCCAACGGAAGGAGGTCAGGCACGGCACAGCGTACGGGCCAACGTAGCCATGCATCGCCCCAGCGTCTGCATTGGGCTGAGGAGGACGACGCATACGGCCAGGGGGCTTCAGGAGGTGGAGGGGGGGGGAGAATACAGCAGCAGGCCACGGGCAGTGATTGTAGAGTGCTCCCTGGAGGCCATTCTGGAAGTCAATGGGTGCTTTTGGAGGCCCTCGCTGATAGGCCCCGTTGTGCCGCTTCAGAGACTTCACGGGTTCGGCCGCCGCGCAGGTGAAGAGACGCTTGAGTTTTCTGCAAGGGTGTCCAGGCGAGTGGCGTGACCGTATATGATAGCAAACACGCATGAGCAAATTCAGAACAACACGGCAATATATGACAGGCCTGGACCTAAACGGTGTTTTTGGCGGTTTCGTGGGCCGTTGTCGTTCCGACACGGAAACGAACAACACCGTTTATGTTCAGCCTTGGTATATGATAGCAGACACGCATGAGCAAGTTCAGAACAACACGGCAACACATGATTCCACGGGGGAGGACGGGAACGCCCCAGGCGCTGAGGCCTCAGGATGCCCAGCGTCCCCAGGCGTTGTAGCCGAAGCCCCTTGCGGCATTGCCGCTTGGCATCGCTCGGACGTGTGAATTTTCCTTCGGCGAGGACCATCGAGGAGCATCGTTGATCATGTGGCGAGAAAGCGACGCACGAAATCGAAAAAAGCACAGGGAATGGACGTGCGAGCGATGGCCAGGCCGAGTGCGGCGTCCCTTGTGTTCCTGATCGTTGCAGGTGTACAGTCAGCGCCCTCCCAGGGTTGGATCCAACGAGTGCCAGGGAAATCCGTCAGGGCTTAGCTTCTGCCGCCAGCCCCCTCTCTATCATAGCGGGAGATGTCGGAGGTGAGTTGGGACGTTTCGGCATTGTTTTGAAACATTATGGTAATTTCACGCGAGGGCGATTGGCATTAATCAACCACTTTGTGATGTTGGAGTTGCTGGACGGAGCGCGAACCTGGTGTGATTGTCACTGGGTGCTGGGCTCGAGAGCGGGACTCTGACGTAAAGGACGACAATTTCTGGTCTCGTGGGCACGAACCTGGTGCAATGTTCAAAGGACTCTGACATCGCGGACCGAGAACCAAGCGTGTTTTATGAGGGAGTCTTGCCGATGGGGCGCGAGTCTGGCGTAATTTGCCTTGGACTCTGGCCTGGGGGGCGCGAATATTGTGTAAAATACGACGAATGATGCCACATGGGGGGAAGGGCATCTCACGCCTTTCAACTTGTCACACGGCCCCCGCGGATATTTCAAAGAACCCCGGAAGGCCGTGGTAACCAGGGCGGTTTTCAGCGACCCATCTCGAGCGGATAGTAACGACACGCAGTCGGAAGCAGGAGGTAGAGCATTTTGGAGGCTGGACATTGGAGCCTACACTGGAACCGCAACTGGGACGGAGGAGCTCAGGGATGGCATTTGTTGTTGAAACCCGACCCTCGCAGCCTGGTCGCCCCGCAAGGGGGGCATCATATTCCACCACCACTACCTCAAGTAGGAGAGGGAAGAGGAGGAGGAGGAGAAGGAGGAGGAGGAGGACCTCCTCATCCTCCCTTCTCCCCCGTCCTGCCCATCAAAAAACGCTCGGCCCTCTGGCGGTGCTTCCGGCCCCGCACCTGGCTCGCGACCCGCGCTCCAGGGAGCGGTGACCAGCGCCGACCCGAGCTGTCCGGCCGGGCCTCCGAAGGTTTCTGTTCCTGCAGGTTTCTGCTGCTCCTCAGGGAGGGCCGAAGAAACTCCAGGGAGGATCCAGCTGCCTCATGGGATGCTCCCGAGCGGCCTCCTTCGGACGGGCCACGAATCGAATGAAAAATCCGTTCCAGAGCGCTCCGTAACGCTCTCAGAGCATTCCGGAACGCTCCGAAACGGCCGCGGACCCGCCACATCCTCCGAACCAACCCGCCAGCTCCGCCCGTTCTCAATGACTTCCGGTTCGTACGGGTCCGTTTTCGTCTCGACTTTGCTGTCGTCTCACACGAAGGGGGTTCTGGTTGTCACGGGGCTCGGCTGCTCGGGCCCTGGGAGACCGCGGGGGGGTGCCCAGTCGCCTCGGGCTGGGCGCAGTTCGAAGACTCCTCGTGTCCAGGGGCAACGTGTGTGCACCGTGCCGCGTGGGCGTGTCCAGAGGCGTCGGCGGTGCCATAGACCCAGGAGTGGTACGGTGCACAGTTGTTCTGCCCCTCGGAGCCGAAGCACCCCATGGACCGTACTGCGAGGGAGTGGGGCCCGAAGGGAGTGCCAACATGGGACTCGGAGCACGGGCGCGGCTCTTGTATCTTGAGGGGGAGGAGGAGGAGGAGGAGGAGGAGGAGGAGGAGGAGGAGGATGAGGAGGAGGAGGAAGACGAGGAGGAGGAGGAGGAGGAGGACGAGGAGGAGGAGGGGGAGGAGGAGGAGGAGCAGCAGGAGGGGGGGCGACACGTGGGAGCACCCCAATTGGCAACGAGGCCGCGCTGCCGTCTTCGCTGCCGGGCGGCGCGAGTGGAAGCAGCGGAAGGGGCCAGCACGAGAGGGAATTCTTCTGGGCCTCGCAACAGGGGTCCGAGCAGACGGGTTCGGAGGACCCCCCCGCATCAGCAGTGCATTATTCGGGGGTGGACAGAACCCCCAACAGTGACACGTCGATTAGTGAATTGTCCGTTTTCGGTTCTCGAGAGGGTGCCGTGGCCGTTATTTTCCAGGCTTGCGCCTGCCAGGTTTGGGCCTCAGGTCGTCTTTACTAAACCACGTTTTACTAAAGGGGGGTCTGTCCATCCCCGAATTGTTGATGCGGCTCGATGTGGATCCCTGTTTTCTCAACGTCGACGTAGCCCATGCATCGCGGACGTCGCCGATGCATCGTCGAAGCATCGCCGATGCATCGCCGATGCGGCGTGATCCTGCGACCCCGTCTACGCGGACCCCATCTAGGAGGTCTCTAGTGGTTCAAGGTATTTGCAGAAGTATGATCTTCGCAAGCGTACAAGCAGGAGGTGGGCAGGGGCAGGGGGAGTGCGCAAAGGTCGTCAGCACGCTTGCCTGCTTCGAGCAGATCGACGAGATAGCAAAGTTGCAGCAGCGCATTGCGAGATACCAGACGAAAGCGGAGAAAGTGAAGGAGGATTTCAAAAAGGCAGCCTCCTCCCTTGTTTCGCGTTCGCTTGATTCTTGAACATGTGTTATGTGGCTGTCTCCGCAGTGAGCTCACATGTCGGCAGGGGACTGGGACATGGGGTTGGGATCATCCAGGGGTCGCACGCACATCCACTGCAGGAGTATGTGTCTGCATCACCCTGCTGAAGCAGGCAGGGGCAAAGGAGTTTGAGCGTAATAGGTCAGACCATTTGGTGGTCGACCAGCAGCAAGGAGGAAGCTGGGAGGAGGCGAAGGCGGAGGAGGACGCTGAGAGTGAGATTGTTGTGCGTCCCTTGTCTCCCAACCATCCAGTGATGTTCGTTTACTGCTTTTAAGAGATAGCGAGTCGCGTCGTCCCTCCCTCTTTCCCCCTCCCATCCCTGCCTCCTGTCCTCCTCCACATGTCTTCATCGTCATCGTCGTCATCACCACCATCCTCATCAGAGCGAGGGGGCCGAACGGTCATTCAGCGTCCCTGGGTGCGTGGCTGAATAAGGAATCCGTGGTGATAATTATGCCCGTTGCGGTGTTGTTGTTGTTGTTGTTGTTGTTGTTGTTGTTGTTGTTGTTGTTGTTGATGTTGTTGTTGTTGTTGTTGTTGTGGTTGTTGTTGTTGTTGTTGTTGTTGTTGTTGTTGTTGCTGGTGTTGCTGTTGTTGCTGTTGTTGCTGTTGTTGTTGTTGTTGTGGTTGTTGTTGTTGTTGTTGTTGTTGTTGTTTGTTGTCGTCGTCCCACCCGCGACCCACCCGCGACCCACCCCACGACCCACCCCACGACCCATCCCGCGACCCACCCGCGACCCATCCCGCGACCCGTCCCGCGACCCACCCCGCGACCCACCCCGCGACCCACTCCGCAACCCACTCCGCAACCCACCCCGCGACCCACCCGCGACCCGTCCCGCGACCCACCCGCGACCCACCCCGCGACCCACCCGCGACCCACCCGCGACCCAACCCGCGACCCACCCGCGACCCACCCCGCGACCAATCCGCGACCCACCCGCGACCAACCCGCGACCCATTTCGCGACCCACCCGCGACCCACCCTCAAGGGAGGAACAACCACCCGGACCGACAATTGACTTGTATTACACGGCTCTTGGCGTTGACTAAACAACCCTGCCCTGTTCGATTCATTCCTGATGTGCGTTTACTAAACGGCTTCGCTTGCTGGGGTGAGTATTATGGGATGGTTTTTCCCCATATCCTAAGATGGGGTTCTTGTTATTCCGCATATCCTAAGATTGGGTTCTTGTTATTACTTGGACGCCTCCTACTCCTCCTTCTCCTCCCTCCTCATCTTTTTCCCCATATCCTAAGATGGGGTTCTTGTTCCCCATATCCTAAGATGGGGTTCTTGTTATTCCCCATATCCTAAGATGGGGCTCTTGTTATTACTTGGACGCCTCCTACTCCTCCTTCTCCCTCCTCCTCTTTTCTCCTCCCCTCTTGTCGGACGTACTCATACTCCCACTTGCTCATACACAGACTTACTCATACTACTCACACCCAGACGTACTCATACACAGACTCACTCATACCCAGACTTACTCATACACAGTATTAGTCATACTCAGACTTACTCATACCCAGACGTACACATACACAGACTTTCTCATACACAGACCTACTCATACCCAGACTTACTCATACACAGACTTACTCATACACAGACTTACTCATACTCAGCACCCCTAAGGGGAGCCGCCAGGGGTGGTTGCACGGGCTCGTTCGCGGCCATTTTGTGGGGATGTCTCAGGCGGTTTGCTTGTTTCTGGGCCCAACATCCTTCGCTTGGAGAGCAGATTGTGAGGATGTCTCAGGCGGGGCGCTGGTTTCAGCACCCCTAAGGGGAGCCGCCAGGGGTGGTTGCACGGGCTCGTTCGCGGCCATTTTGTGGGGATGTCTCAGGCGGTTTGCTTGTTTCTGGGCCCAACATCCTTCGCTTGGAGAGCAGATTGTGAGGATGTCTCAGGCGGGGCGCTGGTTTCAGCACCCCTAAGGGGAGCCGCCAGGGGTGGTTGCACGGGCTCGTTCGCGGCCATTTTGTGGGGATGTCTCAGGCGGTTTGCTTGTTTCTGGGCCAACATCCTTCGCTTTCGGAGCAGATTTGGAGGATGTCTCGAGCGAGGCGCTCATTTTCACCCCCCAGGTGGGCCAGATTTTGAGGATGTCTCGATCGGTTTGCTTGTTTTGGTGGCCAGGCTCGTGGGCGCAGATTCTTCTCAGGATGCCACAGGAGGCTCCAACAGGCTCCAGGAGGCCCCAGGAGACCACATGAGGTCCCAGGAGGCATCAGGAGGCCACAGAAAGACTCAAGAGGCCACAGGATGTCCCAAGAGGCTCCAGGAGGCCCCAGGAAGCTCCAGAAGGCCTCAGGAAACCACAGGAGGCCCCAGGAGGCAACAGGAAGCGCCAGGAGGCCTCGGAAGGCAACAGGAGGCCCCGAGAGGCCCCAGGAGCAGGAGGCCTCAGAAGGCAACAGGAGTGGCTCCAATCCCATGTGTTTTACGTATGCTCCTATCGATTGGGCCTCACCTGGAGCACGATTCTTTGATGTTCTACGTATGTTTCTATAGATGGTCCTTCTCCTGTGTACACAATCCTAAATGTTTTACTCATGTTCCTATGTATTGGGCCTCTCCTGGGGCACGAGTCCTTGGTGTTTTACGCGTGTTCCTATAGATTGCCCTTCCCCTGTGGCTCTAATCCGCATTTTGGCTCAAGCGATCGCATGCCGCGCCTCCGCCTCGGCCTTCCGCTCCGGGATGGCTGGCCTGCCCGCGGCTAGAGGGGCTTGCACGGCCGAGGACCTCGCGCTGCTGGTGCGCGCGGCGGTCCGCGGAGCCGTGGACGCGGGGGCTCCACGGCGCACAGTTGCGGCGGTGGCGCGCTCCGCGCTGTCGGCGGCTGCCTTTGCGGCAGGCGCCGTGGCGCGGCCTGCGCCCGCTGAGACGGGTGCGCCTGGGGAGCCCAGCGGCACCAAGAAGGAGAGGCGCCGCAGGCGGCGGGCGAGGCTGGCGGCGCGGCGCGCTGCGGCTGGTGCCCCCCCTGTGGCGGAGGCCCCTGCCGCGGGCGCGGCGGGCGAGGCTGGCGCTCCTGGTCATGAAGTTCGGGGAGATGCTCTTCGCGGAGACGGACCCGCTGGCGGACCCCGCTGGGTCGGCCACAGCGACGGCGACGACGACGCGATGGACGGTTCCCTGGACGACGAGTGGGCCGACGGCCTGCCACCTCGCGCCCCTCGGGGCCCGCGGAGGAGGCGGGGCCGACGGCGGGCGCGGCCGGAGGAGGCTGCTCCGGGTGCAGCGGCGGCGGCGGCGGCAGGCGCGGGCCTCGGCCCGCCTGCCGAGGCGGCGGCGGCTTCCCAGGGGCTCTCTCTGGTCGCGCTGGGGACGGCGGCGGCGGCGGCGGGCCCCCTGGAGGCGGTGCGCGCCGCGCTGCCCGTCGGCGGGCTGGCGGCCCTGGACTCCTTCGAGGCGTGCCAGGGCGTGCGAGCGGCCGCCGACGACGTCCTGCTCCGCGCGCAGCCTCCGCCCTCGGAGGCGACGCGCGAGGAGCTCCAGCGCATGCTGGACCTGGTGCTCCCGCGCTAGGTCCTCGCGCTAGCGGGGGAGCCGCCCTTCGGGGGGTCTAGGCCCCGCTCCGCCCTACCCTTCGGCGGTTGGGCTCGACCTGGCGGCTGCCGCGCCCTTGGCGCTCGGCGGCCTCGCTGGCCTCGCGGGCGGCGGCGGGTCCCGCCCTTGGCGCGGGCGGCCGCGGCGCCCTCCCTCGGCGCCCTCGGCCTCGCGTTCGCGGTCGTGGACGGCCAGGGCCTCCTGCTGGCGACGGTGGACGTCGGTCGGGAGGACGACCCGTGCGCGCTGCGCGCTCTGGGGCTGGTCATTTAAAAAATTGGCTCTAATCCGCAATGTTTTATGTACGTCTGTTGCTATAGATTGCGCCTGTCCTGGGCCACGATACCTTCCTAGGAGGTCCCAGGAGGTCCCAAGAGGCTCCTGGAGACCCCAGGAAGCCCCAGTAGGTTTCAGGAGGCCCCAGGAGGCCCCAGGCTCATGCACAGAGACGCGCTCGTACTACTGAGGCTCATTCACACTCCAATTCATTCGCAGTTAGATTGATGTCCAGACCGTCACAACTGAAGCCCGTGAATATTCGAAAGCTCTTGCGCCTAGACATTCACGGCGGACAGGTCCATGCGAGTAGGTGCACATATGGGGAGCTCCACGCAGTGAATAATTCTGCCCTCTACACCCGCGACCCAACAGCGACCCACCCGCGACCTACCCACATTGGTTTAACGAAAAAATCGGCGCCCGCGGCGGGCTCATTGCATGATTTGTGAAATGTTGGCGCCTGCGGCGGGTTTCTCCAGAGTCTCGCAATATGCCGACGTCCCCAAGGCCCCCTCACACTTATCCGCATCTGCGGGGTGCTACGTATCACCATTTCGGCGCACCCATAGCGCCGCCTTGGCCATGTCGGCACACCTCTCACACGTTTGGTGCTCCCCACAGGGAGCCCCGCCGAAGAGGCATCAGGGCATGGTACCGCACAGCGCCGACCTGTCAATGTCGGCCCGCCCCTCACACGCTGCGTGGCCCCATGAAGCCTCCAGGGGGCGGTACCGCATGTGTTCCCAGGCCGGTGTCGGCAAACCCCTCACACGTTTCGTGGCCCCATGTGGAGTTCTACCGAAGGGCCCACGGGGTGGTAACCTCCGGGGCCCATTTCGGCACACCCTCCACACGCTTCGTGGCCCCATAGGAGCCCCACCGACGGCGCCACGGGCAAACGCCCCTATGGGTGCACAGGCCCATGTCCGCATACCCCTCACACGCTTCGTGGCTCCATGGGGACCACCAGCGGCCCCAGCGACGTGGCCCGCATGACCCCGGGCCCACTTCGGCACACCCCTCTCACGGTTCATGGCCCCATGAGAGAGCTACCCATCATTTGCCACAATTGCCCTGCGATTATGTAGACTTGCATGCAGTGGAGACCCATGCCAAGAAACACCCTGCTGGCCTCCAGGGTGCACTGAGTTTCTTGAGTTTCGATGGTTTTGCGATGGAAAGCGTGACGTTCAAACACCTTACATCGATGGACGTCTTGGGGGCTCAGGGTTGGGTTTCTTGTGGGAGGCTTCTTGTGGTCGGGCCCCTGCTGGACCGTTGGGTCTTTCGCCAGGGTAGCTTGTCGTTTCATTTTCCGTTGTGAAAGGGGGGCTCTCGTACCCCTCCGGCTGTGCACTCGCGCTGACTGAGGCGACCGACGATTGGGAAAGGATACAGCAGCTGCACGACCTCTGGAACTACCGCGCCGTCCCCAGTTGAGGAGGAGGGGGGAGGTGCTTGTCGGGGGCAAAGATAGGGGGGGATCGGCATATGGGGGGATGCATCGCCCCCCAATCACCCATTGATCGCAGATAGGGGCTCGATAGCCCCAACCCGCTGAGCAAGGTGCGGTTTCGCTATCGAGGGCCTATCGCCGATCTATCGGCGATGCATCGCCGATTCCCGGTCGGCGTGTCCCCCCCTGTGCCCGTACCCTCCTATCGTTGCCCCCCAGATCGGGGGCAGCCAAGGGGGATGTTATGACTAGGGAGGTGTGGATACCATGCCTGGGCCATGAGATCTCCCAGAGTTCATTCCTCCTCCTGTTGTACTTTCATGACGTCCGCTGTCCCCCGCCCCCTTCGGGCCGCGCGCATGCCTCTGGCGTTGACGTGCAACCCCCCCTGCCCATCCTTGGACACCCCTGAAGGGGGGGGGATGTGGGGGAGGTGGACGGGAGATGGTGGGAGTGTCGAAGAAGGAAAAACGCTAGAATCATAAACTTTGGCGCTCTGCGCGGGTTTCTTGGATCCGCGCTGGGTCCCCTTGGCGGCGCCTCCGGCGCAGCCCTTGGCGCGCTCCGCGCGCCAGGGAGGGGGGTCCAGCGCCAATCCAAGAAATCCGCCATCCTCGCATGAGGGCGCTCCCGCCGCCCTCCCGCCTCCTCCCGGCAGGGCGGGAGAGAACCAGTGCCGCGACTGATCTTGAGCTGCAAATCCCTTGCGGTCCCCCAGAGAACAACGGAGGGACCCCAGACGCCGCTGTGGAGCTTGACGCTTCCTCCTCACCACCCACCAAACCACCCCAACCCAACCCGAAGGCTCAGATTTACCCTCGATTTCCAGTGTGGGGGGGTCGGGAAACATCGAAAAAACACATGTGGAACCCTTACCCCCCCCCAACCCGAAATTCGGGTCTTCGGGTTGGGTTGGGGTGGTCTGGTAGGTAGTCACCTCCTGCCGAGTCGATCCGATCCTCCCCCCCGCTAGAGTAGGAGCAGCAGGCGAGAGTCGCCCCCCACCGCGTGGAGGCCCGCCGCCGCGGGAGTGCCAGGGCCCAGGCCCGCGCCCGGAGGCCAGCTCGTCATCAGAGGCCAAAAGTTTCGAGGAGCGCGAGCACTGGGATGCGGGTGCATCCTGCTCCACTCTACGCTTTTTCTTTTTCTTCTTCGTCGTTTTCTTATTAGTTTTCTATTCCTTATTCTTCTTCTTCTTCTTATTCTTCTTATTCTTCTTCTTGTTATTCTTATGTTACTGCGCTTTCTCGAGCCAGTCGATCCCAGGGAGTACAGGTTGGCGCTCGCACCTCGGTCCGACAACGACCTGCCTCCCGCCCCGGAGGTCGTCGTCGCGGTCGTCTTTGCCGACGTCGCCGCCGCCAGTGGCGGCGGTGGCGGCGGCGCCGACCAGCCTGGGCGGCGTGAGAGATTGAGGCCACGGGCTTCGCACTCTCGTGGGTGGAGCACTGCTCGTGGGTGGAGCACTGCTCGTGGGCATGTCTCCGAGGCGGCGATCAGGGGGCAAAAAGGCCCGGGGTCGGCGGCGAGCGGGGGGTCGAAGCGAGAGGGGGGAGGCCTTCTCAGAAGGCGGCGGGGCTCTTGGGAGGAAGGCCGCGCCTTCGAGGAAGGCCCACAGAAAGCACTGCTCGGAAGGCCTGGGGCCTTCCGAGCCCTCTGAGAATAGGCCGCCCCCTCTCCCTCTCTCTGGGCGCGCCGCCCGCAGGGGGGGGGCACTACAGTCGGCCCTGATTGGTAGGTCGACCTTGCCCCCTGCATTACTGTGGCAGCGTGGGCCCTCGGAAGGAACTTGTGTCCGCTCCCGTGTCCTGTCCAATCAAGTCCGACTGTACATGGATCCAGGGGCGCCGATGGTCCACGTTTCCGGCGAGGCTCCCTGAGTCGTCGCCTCCGAGTGTCGCCGGGGCTCCCCGGCGACGCGACTGTGGATGGATGAGGTGCCTCGTTGTCCTGGGGGCCCTGCTGTGTTCCTGCTCGGCGGCGCACTTGACACGAGTGCGGAGCTATACGGCCGATGGCACGCGTTCTTGCGGCTTTGCTGCGTGCGCTCTGAGCGCACGCCGCACGCCGCTTGAGGCGGCGGAGAGTTGGAGTGATCCATCCACCAAGATGCATTTTCGGGGGGGGGGGGGGCGGCGGAGATCCTGTCCTCTACATGGCGTTTTTTTCTTGTACCCCGACGTGGGTTCTACGCGGAATCGACGTGAATTCGACACGGATTTGAATTTGACGCGTTCGACATGGATGCGGCACGGATGGTTGGCGCGAAGGGACAGACGAGGTCCCCCAACGATGCGTCAGAACGCCAGGGAGTGACATCCACCGATGTCGCCAGTCGTCTTGCAGAGCCCTCGGCGCCACAGCTGGATCATCTTCGAAATTTAAGTCAGAACGCACCCTGGGAGGTCTGTGGAGTCGACATATCCGTAGATTGCCAGTCCCCCCCCGCACGTTGCGGCGTTTTGACCGCCTGGGGGGTGGAGGAGGAGGAACATCGGTGGGTCAAGGACGAAATGGCGGAGAGGGGTCGACAGAGGAAGGATGGGACAGGTCTGCAGGGGGAGAGACTAATCACGTCGTGGGCTGAGGGAATGGATGAGGGTGGGTCGGTTTTTCCCTTCGTCTCCCGACTCCCTCTTCCCCCCGTCTCTTCGTTCCCTCTCCCTCCCCTCCCTCCCCGACTGAGAGATGGGACGCCATCGGCCAGTGGCCTCTGGCCCTGCGGGCTCTGGCCCGCCAGTATCTGGCCGGGCGACACGCAGCCGTTGATCGCGACCAAGGCACCATGCCGTTCCTTGCGATCATGGGCAAGATCCATCACGCCCTGGACGACATGGACCGCGAGATCAGTCACGAGGCCTGCCCTTCGCCCTGCAAGTGAGGACGAGGATGGGGAGCTCAGGGCACGTAGGGAGGAGCCAGAAGCGGGAGGAAAGGGAGGAGGAGGAGGAGGACCAGCAACGACAGGGTGATGAGAAGAAGGCTCATTAGGATGATGACGAGTCGAAGGAGGGATGGGCGGGAGGAGCAAGCTGGAGGGGAGGGAACAGAGGACGAGGAGTAACAGTGTGAGGCGAATAATGGTCAGCAGCAATCAGATTGGGGACATGATCGGGAGGAGGAAAAACAATCTGAGCAGGAGCAGCAGAAGAAGGCGCAGGATGATGAGGAGGACGCGAAGGATGAAGAGGACGTGGAGGCAGGGGAGCAGCCGGAGGACGAGGAGGAGAGGAGGAGGAGAGGAGCAGGAGGAGGAGGACGAGGACGAGGAGGAGGAGAGGAGCAGGAGGAGGAGAGGAGCAGGAGCAGGAGCAGGAGCACGAGGAGGAGGAGGAGGCGGAGGAGGAGGAGGAGCGGTTCCATGCAGTCCACGATCGCCAACTCGCGGAGCAGAGCTTTTGAACGGCTGGCACCGCTTACGTACCTTCTCTTGGGCCGTAGTTTGAGATCCCTCTGGGGCGCCCTGCCTTGGGTAGCAGTTTGAGCTTCCTCTGGGGCTCCGATGCGTTCGAGGGGTGTTCCGAAATTGGGGCGGTAGTGCTAGATGGGCGCCCTCACTTGGGCCGTGGGTGGGGCCCTCCCTCTGTTGGGCCACGAATCGTGCGAGGGGTGTGCTGCAACGGGCGCGCTGCAGGTTCAGGAGGAGGGGGAGGAATTTCAGAGGAGGAAGATGTACCCATACCGCTACCCTTCTCTCGTTTTCCTTTTTCGGCCTCCTGGATGGCCCTCGTCGCCACCGCTGGATTCGCGTCTGAATCCTGGTCAGAACGCACCCCGGGTGAGGTCCAGGGAGTAGCGGTATTGGTATTTTCTAGTCTCGCAGAGGTAATGAGAATGAGTCATGAGGATGTGGGGCAAGAGGTTGCAGATTCATCAAGACGACTACCAAGCAACCATGATAGTTGCGGCAAGTTGAGGCTGACTCCTGCTGCCCAGTCGTTGGCCATATGCAATCACCCATCCTTGTCCAGTCGCCCTGTCGCGCGTTGCCCCGTCGACGCGTCGCGCCCCGTGGCCCCGCTACTATCCGTTCCCCGGGAGACACCGAAACATGTATACGGCAGGTTCGTGTCGTGCCGACCCCAGCGTTGGTTTTTGACACCGCAGGGATCGTTCAACCTTGAACGATCGGCCGCTGCCGCAACGTCCGATCGTTCAACATCGATCGATTCTGGGTCGCCGGCGGCGTTCAACCTTGAACGTCCGCGCTGGGGTCGCCGCGGGTCGACACGACGCAAACCTACCGTACACAAGGGTCCCATATACACCAGGTGTAGCACCGGTGTCTAGAGTTCGGTTCCCCAGAAGTGAAGGACAAGGGGGGACGTGCAAGATCGAGGAGGAGGAGGAGCAATGTTCGCGAAACCCCGACGGCGTCGGGCAGGCGGAAGGGCGGGGACCGGCCCTCTTCGGTTCTATGGGCCGTTCCTTTTATCGGGACGATCAGAATGGGTACGGAAAGGGCGGGTACGATGCCCAGCAGCAGTCCTTCTTCATTTTGAACAAGACTTGCTGTCCACGCCGCCGCGGGCGTCGTTCACTGAAGACATGAAGCCGCATGCCCAACAGCGGCCGTTATCGCTTTTGGACAGCATTTGCTGTGCGTCTGTAGGTCATTGTACAATTTTTTGTCAGTACACATTTCGGGAGTCTAATTTTGAATTTGGGGACGTGGAGTCACCCGGCTGCCCCCAGCATCGCTGAGGATCGAAGACGTAGAAAATCGCGTGAACGTGCCAGACGGACGGCAATGGAGGAAACGGTCTCTGAGGGAAATTGGTCCTCCGGTTTTTGGCCGTTTTCACGCTCTCGGAGCCCTCCACAGGCCCTGGGACTGTCAGTAGACGGTTCATGAAAATTTCGTCTTCGGGGAAGGAGCCAGGGTCAAGGACCCTTTGAAACTTGGGGGCAAGGAGCGCGGCGGGATCGAGGGTTTCAGGAAAGTGGCCCCCCAGGGGCCCCAGACGGCCCCCGACTGCCACAGCAGACCCAGGATTAAGTCGAGCATGTCTCTCTACACCTCTACAGGAGGAATCTTCAAAAGTAGTCAGAAAAATAGTCTGGGGAATATTTTTCCAGTATGTTTGTCAATTTTTGATTTTTTTGAGGGTATTTCTTGTTGTCCTCCAACATCCGCCTTCAGGAGGACATGCCCGACCTAAACCCAGACAGAAGGCGCACGGAATGGGCACGTCGCGTCGTCCCAGGGCGCCCGGCAGGCGTGGCGAGCGCCGCGGCATCCGGTGCAGAGAGCAGCGCGCAGGGCTTGAGGCTGAGCTCTACGTCGGAGGCGTGCGGGGCGCTGTCTGAGGACCGCTTCGACCACGATGACGTCGGGCGTGCCCCTCTACAAGAGGAGCATTCAACAACAGTCAAACCAATAGTCTGGGGACGATGGCTCTACTGTTGTTGACCATTTTTGAATTCGTTGTTTATTCAAAATCCGCTTGTGGGATCGGGCCAGACGAAAGGGGGGGATTGGGAAAGGGGGGGGTGCAAAATCTGCTGCATGCAGCTGGTTTCGGCCTCACCGAGGGCCCATTCCTCGATACATGGCCGCCTCCGGCGCCGGGAGGCGCCGGGAAAATCAGCTGTGCCAGCTGATTCTCACCCCCCGCCTTTGCTTATCCCCCCTCTCGCCCGACCCGATACCATAGGAGGACATGCCCGACCTGAGACTGCGGTGGAGGAGTGGGCCCCTTGCGGCGCGCGCGCGCGCGCGCCAGCAGGGCCCCCGCAACGACAAGCGGCTGGTGTGGCTGGAGCACGCCAACCAGTGCCTCGAGGCGGCGGCCCGGCCGCCCCCCCGGTCGTCGCTCTTGCCGGGCCAGGATGAAGTCGGGCGTGTCTCCCCTACAGGGGGATGTTCGACGAACAAAAAAAAAATACTAGAACAAATATTTGAAATGGCCAAAAATCATTCAAAAAATTGTTCCCCGACCATTTTTGCACTATTTTTGGATTATGTTTGGGGTACTTTTTATTTTTCGTCGAAGATCCCCCTGTAGGGGGACAGGCCCGACGTAAGGCCAGGATGAGAGGAAGGCAGGATCGGGACAGCATCGGATCGGGACCCAGACTTGCTCGCGTCGAGGACAAAATTGACGGGAGGCATGTCCCACGTTTCAGCCCCACGGGGGCCTTCTTTATCGTGCCCTGGAACCCTTTCAAAATGACCCAGGACGAGACACCAGCCCCAAGGAGAGCGTCGGAACTATGGGAACCGCGCGCTGAAGAAATCAGGACATCCCATGTTTGGGATTGGATCGGACGAAATTGGGAATCTCTGGCTTCCGACGGTTCTGCGGGATGTATCGGGCGGAGGGGTCTTCTCAGAACGGTCGGAAACGTTTTGGGAGCGTCCCAGAACGCCATGGAGCGATTCATTATTTCTCCTGGACCCGATTTACATGGTGCCGTGCCGCGTTGGGGCGGGGCCTGAAGCGAGCCCAAACATGGTACGGAGCATAGGCGCCGTTTCCGTACGTGCAGGAGGTTGGTCTGAAGGGAATAGGGTCCTGGAGGTATGTTGCCGTTTTCGGGTTCGCGGACCTCCGCTCAGGAGCAAGAGGCACCGACATCGTTGCCCGTCCATCCGAAAAGGTATGGTCCTGCCAAAAGCATGGTCCTGCCTAAACCAGAGGGCTCCCGTATACTGATGCCGATGCTTGTCCTTCGTTCGCGCCCTGTCTTGGCCTCCCGGGCGGCCCTCGTCGCACCGGCTAGATTCGCCTCGAGATCTTTGTCGGAACGCGCCCCGGGAGACGTGCGGGGAGTAGCGGTATCGGTCCTTTTTGCGGTTTCCCTTGGAATTGATGTTGTGTTGGGTTACATTGCACAGCGAGGGGCGTCGGAAAGAATGACGGGTGGTTAGTAACGCAAGTCGGGATCGCGTCCCAGATGGATTTTGCGCTGTTCGGTAGCGGACTTGGAGTAGATGTACCCCTAGCGGAGCCACTCGCAGAGCAGGGAGGGTTTCGTAGAAGCACCTAGCTTCTTAGAAGGGGCGGCCTTCTCCATAGAAGCAAGGCCGGCGGTCCTCCAAGGAGCCGCCTTCCCCCCTCGCCCCAACCCCTCGTGTGCGCGCCAGCAACCACCCTCGGGGCCCCGTTGGCGCAATGCGCGGGGCTCGGGACAAGAGTCTTTCCCGGGGGAGGGCCCCGGGTCCCAGGGCCCGCTTCCCTCGGGGCCAGGTGTCTCATCGTGATTGCCGTCGTCGTCGTCGCACTGTGATCTCCAGGGTTTCTTCTCTGGCGTTCGGCCTTGCCAGTCGTCCCCGTTCCTCCGCCGCCATCCACCCCATCTCCTTCCCTTTCTCGTGCTTCTGCTCGTCCTCCATCTGCCCCTCCTTCACCTGTCAGCGTCGTGGGCTAGCCGGCCAGGCTGTTCCGTCGAGAGCTCGCAAGGTTGACTTCACCCCAACCTCCCTGTCCTTCGAATAGTGTCGCTTCCTTCTTATCCTGCGCTCGTCGAATCAGAGCCCCGAATCATCAGGGGTAACTCGGGTCAGGGCTAACTCGGGTTCGTTTTTCGGGAGTCCGAACCCGAGTTATCCCGGACCCGAGTTACCCCGGATATTTCGGTCGTCCAGAGCCCCGAATCATCAGGGGTATTTCGGGTCAGGGTTAACTCGGGTTCGTTTTTCGGGAACCCAAACCCGAGTTACCCCGGACCCGAGTTACCCCGGATAACTCGGGCGTCCAATCGAATGGGGAAGGACTCCAACTATACACCAACACCGGTCCTGGCCAAGGCAATGTTGAGCCCCGGATTTTGCGTATACGCTATCCTTGCCGAAGTCAGGAGGGCACGTTACATCGGTGCTGGGCGAAGGATGGACCTGGCCAGAATGCGTCTAGGTGTATCGCTGGCGTCCTACTACCCTCGACAAAATTTTACCCACATATTTGTATAATTTCGGTTTGCGGCAAGCGGTAAGAAAGCACATGAAACATTCTAGCGGTGAGCAGTAGGTAGTAAGCGTTGAGCCTCCGTTTGTTGCTTTTACGATTACGGTTTACGGTAACCAGTAAGTGTCGCCCCCGCCAGGACCCCCCCAGGAGGCTCCAGGAGGCCCCAGGAGGGCCCCATGGTCCACAAAGCGTCGCGGGCACCGAAAGCTTTAGTTGCGCCATAACACCAGCTGATTTTTCAGCAAAGTCGGCGACAAGTCCTTTCAAAACCGAGCGGTGTCATGGCGCCGAGCTGCCCCCCCCTTCCCAGGAAGCCCCAGCCTGCCCCGGAAGGCCCCCAGGAAGCCACCAGGAGGCCCGAGAACTTCCCAAGGGGCTCCAGGATGCCCCCAGGAAGCCCCAGGGTCCACAAAGAGTCTCGGGCTTAGTGGGCCCTGGAAACGACAGGGCCGTTTGTTTACCGGATCCGTTTTGCTGTTTTTGTTGCCGGTTCAGACGCCGTTTTTTTACCGGTTCCGTCGCCGTTCTTTTACGGGTTCCCGCTCCGGTTCCAATCCTGGAGCTGTTTTTGTTGCCGTTTCTGGTCGCCGTTTTTTGCCGTGTCCAGTTTCAAGGGACATTTTTTTCGGAAACGGTGAAAAAAACGGCCCTGTCGTTTCCGGGGCCCGCTAAGGTCTTGGGCACCGAGAGACGAAGTGGCGCCCAGCCGAGTTTGGTAAGCCGTCGAAGGACGCGCGGGCCAGGTGCCAACATCGGAACCTCGTCTTGGCCGCATGGCCGTTGGACCTCGGGAGTGCGGCTGCCCTGGGCTCTGACGGGGTCATAATTGGGTACGTCCGCTATCCTAGGCCCCAACCCAGGGACCCAGGATGCGACCTCAGGTTGCCACAGGACTCCTCAACACCGAACCGCCAGTGTGACCCGTGGGACGCGGCCACCTATGCCTCGGACATTTTCCGCACAAGCTCCGCCGGCATCCCATGAGGACCGAAGTGCGGGAAACGTTTTCTAGGCACTTGAAGACCGAGCTATGTTTGCACCCCCCGCGGGGCGCACAAACCGTGCCCCCCCCTTGGGAACGCACATTGGTGTTTGAAATCGGTTTGGTGCAGCCTGTCGGCACCAATGCTGCTTATAGATGCTAGGCCTACCCCTAGGGCCTACCCCTAGGGCTACCCTAGGCCTACCCCTAGGGCCTACCCCTAGGGAACCCCTAGGGCTACCCTAGGCCTACCCCTAGGGTCTACCCCTAGGGCTACCCTAGGCCTACCCCTAGGGCCTACCCCTAGGGCTACCCTAGGCCTACCCCTAGGGCCTACCCCTAGGGCTACCCTAGGGCTACCCCTAGGGTCTATCCCTAGGGCTACCCCAGGGCTACCCCTAGGGCCCCTAAGGCCTACCCCTAGGGCTACCCTAGGGCTACCCCTAGGGCCTACCCCTAGGGCTACCCTAGGCCTACCCCTAGGGCCTACCCCTAGGGCTACCCTAGGCCTACCCCTAGGGCTTACCCCTAGGGCTACCCTAGGGCTACCCCTAGGGCCTACCCCTAGGGCTACCCTAGGGCTACCCCTTGGGCCTACCCCTAGGGCCGCCTTTGCCGGAGGAGAAGCACGAGGATGAGGGGGAGGAGTACCGAGGAGGAGGAGGAGGAGGAGGAGGAGGAGGAGGAGGAGGAGGGACAGGGAGAGGGAGAGGGCGGAGGAGGAGCAGGAGGGACGGAGAGAGGAGGAGGAGGAGGGGGAGGACGAGGAGGAGGAGGACGAGGAGGAGGAGGAGGTGACAGCCCCGCCTGCGCCGCCCTGGCGCCAGACGGCGCCCCCGTCGACCGTCGATCGGCTCGGGTTTGCGTCGTCGTCGTCGTCGTCGTCGTCGTCGTCGTCGTCGCCGTTGCCGTCGTCGTCGTCGTCGCCGCCGCCGCCGTCGCCGCCGCCGCCGCCGCCGTTGTCGTCGTCGTCGTCGTCGTCGTCGTCGTCGTCGTCGTCGTCGTCGTGGTTGTCGGTCGGTCGATCGGTCAGACTGCCGCTCGGCCGGCGGGTCGGTCAGACAGTCGGACGGTCGGTTGTGGTCGTCGTCGATTGCGTAGTGATCGTCGTCGCCGCTGGCCGTCGATGTCCGGCGTCGCCGTCGCCGTCGGCCGTCGTCGGCCTGGGGCAACCGCCGGGACGAGGCCTTCCTCCGTGGTGCGCCTTGGCTGGGAGGCGACGGCGATGACGGCGGCAATGGAGGAGGGGGAGGAGGAGGAGGAGGAGGAGCGTCGTCGTCGTCGCCGCCGCCGCCGTCGCCGCCGCCGCCGCCGCCGTTGTCGTCGTCGTCGTCGTCGTCGTCGTCGTCGTCGTCGTCGTCGTCGTGGTTGTCGGTCGGTCGATCGGTCAGACTGCCGCTCGGCCGGCGGGTCGGTCAGACAGTCGGACGGTCGGTTGTGGTCGTCGTCGATTGCGTAGTGATCGTCGTCGCCGCTGGCCGTCGATGTCCGGCGTCGCCGTCGCCGTCGGCCGTCGTCGGCCTGGGGCAACCGCCGGGACGAGGCCTTCCTCCGTGGTGCGCCTTGGCTGGGAGGCGACGGCGATGACGGCGGCAATGGAGGAGGGGGAGGAGGAGGAGGAGGAGGAGGAGGAAGGAGGGGAGGTAGAGGTGGAGGAGGAGGAGTGCGGAGGAGGAGGCGGAGGAGGAGGAGGGGACGGGGGGGGGGTACCTTGAGGGGGGGTCCCAGAGGGGGGGTCAGCGAGGGGGGGTCTGCGAGGGGGGGTCTGCGAGGGGGGGGTCAGCGAGGGGGGGTCAGCGAGGGGGGGTCTGCGAGGGGGGGTCAGCGAGGGGGGGTCTGCGAGGGGGGGTCAGCGAGGGGGGGTCCCAGAGGGGGGGTCTGCGAGGGGGGGTCTGCGAGGGGGGGTCTGCGAGGGGGGGTCAGCGAGGGGGGTTGTGAGGGGGGTCCCAGAGGGGGGTCAGCGAGGGGGGGGTTCCAGAGGGGGGGTCAGCCGAGGGGGGGTCCCACGGAGGGGGGGTCTAGCGAGGGGGGGTCTGCGAGGGGGGGTCAGCGAGGGGGGGTCAGCGAGGGGGGGTCTGCGAGGGGGGGTCAGCGAGGGGGGGTCTGTGAGGGGGGTCCCAGAGGGGGGGTCCCAGAGGGGGGGTCCCAGAGGGGGGGTCTGCGAGGGGGGGTCTGCGAGGGGGGGTCAGCGATGGGGGGGTCAGCGAGGGGGGGTCCCAGAGGGGGGGTCTGTGAGGGGGGGTCTGCGAGGGGGGGTCAGCGAGGGGGGGTCCCAGAGGGGGGGTCTGCGAGGGGGGGTCTGCGGCGCCGGGGCCGCGGTCGCCGGGGGGCGGCGCGGGCGCCCTGCCCTCGGAAGGGGGAGCGGGGGGGGGGGAAGCAGGGGATCGAGGGAGCAGCGAGGGAGGAGGAGGAGGAGGAGGAGGTGGAGGAGGAGGAGGAGGAGGGCGGAGGAGGAGGAAGGGGGAGGAAGGAGGAGGAGGAGGAGGAGGAGGAGGAGGAGGAGGAGGAGGAGGAGGGGGGCCCAAGCCCAGACCTCCTCGAAGACCGAGGGCCGAGCAGGTCTTCGTCGGTCCTCGGCGTCTCCCTCGCGTCGGCGTGCGCTCAGGAAGGCGCGCCCCGCCGGGCACGCTCCAGGCCCAGACAGTCGTCGTCGTCGTCGTCGTCGTCGTCGTCGTCGTCGTCGTCGTCGTCGTCGTCATCGTCGCCCTCCGCCTCCCCCTCCTGCTCCTCCTCCCCCTTCTCCTCCTCTTCCACTCCCACTCCGCCACAAAGGGCATCAATATGTAATCCGCCAGCAAAGCAAGCAATGCCTTTAATGTCCCGCCCGCCCGCCCGACCAAAAGAATCAGCTTGTAATCCGCCACAATAGTAATCAACTTGTAACCCGCTGCCACATGGAATCACTTTGTAATCCGCCACCAAAGCAACCAATGCTTTTAATGTCCCGCCCGCCCGCCCGACCAAAGGAATCAGTTTGTAATCCGCAATAAAAGAGAATCCATTCGTAATTCGCCACAAGCAATCATTGCCTTTAATGTCCCGCCCGCCCGCCCGACAAAAGGAATCAATGTGTAATCTGCCACAATAAGAATCAGTGTGCCACCCGCCACACATGCAATCAATGCCTTTAGTGTCCCGCCCGCCCGCCCGACAATAATAATCAGTTGATAATCCACCACGCAGGGAATCAATATATGTAATCCGCCACCAAGGCAACCAATGCTATTAATGTCCCGCCCGCCCGCCCGACCAAAGGAATCATATTGTAATCCGCAATAAAGGGTTACCCCTAGGGCCTACCCCTAGGGCTACCCTGGGGCTACCCCTGGGGCCCACCCCTAGGGCTACCCTAGGGCTACCCCTTGGGAAGCCTAGGGCCTTGGGTAGGGCCTACCCCTTGGGAAGCCTAGGGCCTTGGGTAGGGCCTACCCTTGGGAAGCCTAGGGCCTTGGGTAGGGCCTACCCTTGGGAAGCCTAGGGCCTTGGGTAGGGCCTACCCTTGGGAAGCCTAGGGCCTTGGGTAGGGCCTACCCTTGGGAAGCCTAGGGCCTTGGGTAGGGCCTACCCTTGGGAAGCCTAGGGCCTTGGGTAGGGCCTAGGGTAGCCAAGGCCCCCGGTGATCTATACCCAATGCTGACACGACATGGGTCTCACATTTACGCATTGTTGTCACATATCATGCTTGGGTCCATCAGTCGTCGTCCTCTCATGATGGGACGCCTGACCCGCATGCGTTGACCCCCTGGTCTCGGTGCTACGAGGCAGAGGTGGTTGCCATAGGATTTGCGCTATGCGCAGTTCACCCACCATTACCAGGTTCCCACATCGAGCACTTATTTCAAAGGTGGGAGAGCCCAACTGGCCCATTCGATTCAAAAGGGTTATGCCCATCCTCAAGGGCATGAGCACTACATTGCGACCTCCTCGAGCAGGACTCTCCAACATGCATTTTGTCGCGCATGCGTTTGGCATGTGTTGTCACGTTCTCGTTGCGACAACGGGCTCCCCTGGGGGGTCTCTTAGGAACGTCGGGTTCTTCACACGTGAAAATACGTGCGCGGAGAGGGACGCGCGTGCTGGGCAGTGCTTTCGCGTGTCCACGGAGGTGTCGGACATCCAGCTTGCTGTGGGGTGGAGCGTGTCGCTTGAGACGTCCTTGCTACATTGGGATGCTAGAGGAGCGGTCACGCTGACTTTCCGCATGAAGCGTTCGTCTGCGACTTGATCGTATCAGTTCGATATTCGATGTCTGTCGTCAGATATCCAAAATTGTGCGGAGGGGGGGCACGTGAGACACCCTCACAACATGGGGATGTTGGAGGAATGGTGTTCGACGTTGGTTCTCAAACGTGAAGGTTTCACTTTAGACATCTTCAGAAGCCTATCGATGTAGGATATCGGTTGTTGGTGTATCAAACATGGTTCGTGGGGAGCGGTTCGGCATGTTGGAGGAGTGATTTCCCGGAAAGGGCGTGGGCCCAGGGTTCTTTTTTAGTATGTAAATTTGTTCCCGGTGCCTCAATTGAGGTGGGCCGGCGGATTCTTTCCTTGATATACATCGAGGTCGAGGTGGGCCGGCGGATCAAGAATTGAGGATGTATCATGCGAGACGCTTGTTTTTGAAATCACGATCGATAAATAACAGGTGCGGGCCACCCCAGCACGACCACACCCAAGCACGACCACACCCCAGCACGACCACGCCCCAGCACGACCACGCCCCAGCACGACCACACCCCAGCACGACCACACCCGAGCACGACCACACCCCAGCACGACGGCACCCCAGCACGACCACACCCCAGCACGACCCGATCGATAAATCACAGGGTGCGGACCACCCCAGCACGACCACACCTTAGCACGACCCCACCCCAGCACGACCACACCCCAGCACGACCACACCCCAGCACGACACCCACCCCAGCGACCACACCCCCCAGCACGACCACACCCCAGCACGACCACCCCCCACCCCACCCACGACACCCCAGCACGGACCACACCCCAGCAGACCCCCACCCCAGCACGCACGACCACACCCCAGCACGACCCCACCCCCGCACGACCCCACCCAGCAAGCCACACCCCAGCACGACCACACCCCAGCACGACACTCCCACAGCACGACCACACCCCAGCACGACCACGCCCCAGCAAGACCACCCCCCAGCACGACCACGCCCCAGCACGACCACCCCCCAGCACGACCACACCCCCAGCACGACCACACCCCAGCACGACCACCCCCCAGCACGACCACACCCCAGCACGACCACTCCCCAGCACGACCACGCCCCAGCACGACCACTCCCCAGCACGACCACACCCAGTCGCACTCCCGGGGAATGTTTCGTGGGGTGTCTGGTTGAGCGGTTGCCTGTTCGAAGGGTGTCTCGTGGAATGTTTCACGGGGTGTCTCGTGTCATGTTTCGTGAGGTGTCTCGTGTCATGTTTCGTGAGGTGTCTCGTGGGATGTTTCGCGGGGTGTCTAGTGGGATGTTTCGCGAGGTGTCGCCCAGTTGGGTATCGTGAAAACGTTACCATGCTGCACATGTCTGTATATCTTTCCGGGTTCGTGGGTCCATCATGTTTTTGATGTACGACGTTGATATGCAAGGATGAAGTGTCCGACTGAGACTTAATCAGACAATTAGATGTTGGATGTGAGACGCTGCGCATCCAATTTGGCGTTTGAGTGGGAGTGGGGGGTTGTTTCGCCTGATGCGTCTTCACAACATGGGGATGCTGGAGCAATTATTTTATGACGTTGGCTCTGAATCGTGATGCTTTCGCCTGGGGCATCCTCAGATCAACGAGGTGAATGAGATCGGACGTCGGATATCCAACATGGTTGTGTGTGTGTTGTTTGGGGGTGTTGCGCCATACACATCCTTCCACAATGGGTGTGGTGGTTATGTTGTTTTGCGATGCTGGTTCTCCGAGAATAATGGTTTCTGCCTGGGACATTATCAGGATATGCCGATGTTGGGAATCAGGCCTTGGATATCAGCATGGGCGTTTCGCCTGAGACATCTTCATAACATGGGGATGTTTGAGGAGGCGTCGGGTCACGATTATTGCCAATAATGAAGCTTTTGCCTGAGACATCCTCAGACAGTTGACTGTTGTACATCTGGTATCGGATATCCAGCATGGGATGAAGAGGGTGGGGGGCGTTTCGCTTGAGACATCCTCACGAGTCCTCACACACTGGCAATGCTGCATCACATATTTTACGACGCTGGTTCTCAAAAGCCAACCTTTTGCCTTTTAGGCATCCTCATAATCAGAATAATGATATTTGGGAGATCGGACATCGGATATTCAACATGGTGTGTGTGTGTGTGGGGGGGGGGGGCGGCTCGCCTGAGACATCCTCGCACAACGGGATGATTGGAGAAACACTTGAACGACCCCGGTTTTCAAAAAGGAAGCTTTCGCGTGAGATGTCCTCAGACAATTTAGATGGCGAGCTCGGGCGTTGGATACAGAACGTGGTGTGCTGGGGCGCTTCTCAGCAACCACCCTCCAAAACCAGATATAGTTGCACTGTACTCCCGATTTCGACGTACCTTCAAGAGGCTGGCTCTCGCCTGAGACATCCTCACAACAGATGGCAGCCTCACCAGAGAAGTCTGACAGCGAAGTCTTTGATCTATTTCCCTGCCGGGTTCTTGGGGCCCTCACGTTTGGATCGGCGCTGGAGCCCCCCTGGCGCGCTCTGGCGCCATCGGCCTCCTGGCCGGATCCTCCCCCGACCTTGGAGGCCCTGGACATGAAGCTCGGGCAGGCGAGCGACTGGACCGTCTCGGGCCAGGAGCCTGCCGGCAGGGGGTGGGGGGGCGCTTCCGCCGGGGAGGGGTCGGTGAAGCACTTGCGCGGAGCACGACCATGCAGCAGGAGCGGCCGTGGCCCAGAGGATTAGCAGGATTAGCAGGAGCGAAAGTCGTGGCCCAGAGGCTTAGCAGAGCATACTAGTACTATGTGTCTCGGGGCTGGACAGAACCCCCAACAGTGACACGTCGATTAGTGCATTGTCCGTTTTCGGTTCTCGAGAGGGCGTCGTGGCCGTTATTTTCCAGGCTTGCGCCCGCCAGGTTTGGGCCTCAGGTCGTTTTCACTAAACCACGTTTTACTAAAGGGGGGTCTGTTCATCCCCGAGAAAAAAGAATCAGGGGCATCGTAAGGGGGGAGTGTGTCTCAAGGGTGGATGCGTCGATCCCCTGTCGCCCATTGATTGCCCATGGGTGCCCGATGGCCCACACCGCCCAAGACCGTGCAGGTCTATATCGGGGGCTCTGGCTGATCTGTTGCCGACGTGTCGCCCGTTCCAGGTCGATGGTTCCCCTCAGGCGGTCCCTCTTCCTGACCTACCCCCTCTCAGGAGGAGGAGGAGGAGGAGGAGGAGGAGGAGGCGGCGGAGGATACGTAGCAGGAGGAGGAAGAGGAGGAAGAGGAGGAAGAGGAGGAGGAGGACGAGGAGGAGGAGGAAGAGGAGGAGGAGGAGGAGGAGAGGGGGGATGAGGAGGAGGAGGAGGTGGAAGAACAGACGGACGGAGCATGACACCCGTGCGTTATCAGCAGGACGTGGGCTTAAACGGCCACGCGTGCCACCAGGTACGCGCGAGGAATCGGAACGATTCATGTCCCCCATCAGGGGCACACCACAGCGGGAGCGGCGCTTGCCGCCGCCGTACCCGTCTCAGGGCCACCGCTTCGGGCGAGAGCTGGAGTGGCAAGTAGGACGGGGAGGAGGGAGGAGAGGCGCAGTGGAGGAGGAGAAGAAGAAGAAGACGTAGGTTGTAGCCGATTGGATCGGAGGGGGAGGAGGAGGGAGGAGGAGGAGGAGGAGGGAGGTGGGAGGATGCGAGGAGGAGGAGGAGGAGGAGGAGGAGGAGGAGGAGAAAATGAGGAATGAGGAGGAGGACGACGATGAGGAGCAGGATGAGAAGGAGGATGAGCAGGAGGAGAAGGAGGAGGAGGAGGTGGTGGTGGTAGTGGAGGAGGAGGAGGAGGAGAGGGGGATGAGAGGAGGAGACCGTGGCTGGTTCGATAGGAATGGGAGGATGGAGGAGGAGGAGGAGGAGGAGGAGGAGGAGGACCGTTTGGACCATTTGGACCGTTTGGCCAAGCACAGGGTCGTGCTGGGGGGGAAGAGGAAAGCAGAACCCCGAACGAGGGTGCTTTGACGCAGGCGGACACCCGTCTTACCTCCACCCCCCCGCAACCACTACTGGCCAGTTAGCCCTCCACAGGAGGGCCAACTACCCAGCAGAGGCGGACAGTCCGCCGTTTCCTCCCTCGGACACAGCGGCCCTCCCGTACGTTCTCGCCAGGCCTCCGAGGTCTCACGCATCGAGGGCACCCCATCTCTAGGGGGGGGGTACTTGCCCTCCTCGATGCGACGTAACTTCCCACGGCCTTTGCGGGAGATGCTTGTGCATTTCGCAGCCAGGTGGCGACCGTCCACCGTAGTGTGTTTGCCACAGGTGGTGCAGAAATTCATGAGGAAACGCTCCCACCGCTGGACGGTGTGAGAGGGATGCACTTCCCCGCCCCGTCGCCAACCCACAGCCTCCCGCCCCCACAACACAAACAGGGAGGCCACGGCACTGGGTCTTGGCGGCCTCGATGAGGCGAGAAGCGGGCACCACACTATTGCACTCGCTGCACCTCCAAGCTCCCTTGCTTCGCTCGAACAGATGACTGGAGGCCTGCAGCGCTAACTTCAGCTTCGACGGGGGCGCTGAGGAGGAGGAAGAGGAGGAGGTGGAGGAGGAGTTGGAGGAGGAGGAGGAGGAGGAGAAGAAGGAGGAGGAGGATAGTGTGGCTGGTTCGTTATCAGCGGAGGGGGGAGGAGGAGGAGGAGGAGGACGAAGAGGAGGAGGATGACGAGGAGCAGGCGGAGGATGAGGATGAGGAAGAGGAACAGGAGGAAGAGGAGAAGGAGGAGGTGGAAGAGGAGGAGGAGGAGAAGGAGGAGGAGGAGGAGAAGAGGAGGAGGAGGAGGAGGTGGAGGAGGACGGGGGAGAGGTCGGAGGCAGGAGGAGGGGCGGCGGGCGGGAGGAGGAGGAGGAGGAGGAGGAGGAAGAGGAAGTCTTCCTGTCCTCTCGGGGATGCCCCCCCCTTTCTTGGTTGGCGTGCCACCTTTTAACTGCGTTCGACGAGACCGATAGCCATAAGGAACAAGGAACCAGGAACCAGGAGGAGGAGGAGGAGGAGAAGCAGGAGGAGGAGGAGGAGGAGGAGGAGAAGGAGGAGGAGGAGGAGGAGGAGGAGGAGGAGGAAGAGGGGGGAAGCAGTCGGAGACCACGCACGCCATCAGGAATCAGACATCCGAAGGAGGGGGAGGAGTAGAAGGAGGAGGAGGAGGAGGAGGAGGATGAGGAGGAGGAGGAGGAGCAGGAGGAGGTGCGGCCGATCGGGAGACGAGACGCAGGAGCCCCTCGCCGACGAGTGGAAGGCGACGATAGGGCGGCAGCTGAAGAACGCCGAGAGGAGCGATAACGTTGACGAGCTGATCGAGGCCTGCAGTGCCGCCTTTCCCTCGGTGTCCTGATTTGCCTGGCTGGCTGAGGCTCCGAATCCTGGTCTGGTTGGCTGGAGGCCCACTCACGGATGCTAGGCCGATCTTTGGGTGGCAGTTGCCATGTCGGAGTTCTTGCTTCTGGACGCAGATATGCCACATACGACAGTGACAGATTTGCAATTTGACGTTCAAGCTGTCCTTCGGGAAATACTAGCGTCCTGGCTGAACGTTTGGGCCGGCTGTGTGACGGCCGTCACCCCACCACAGGCAGGCAGGTTTGATGGGGTCCAATTTGGTAGCTCGGGAAAGGCCCGAGGGTAGGCGAGGCCTCTGGTTTGAGCACAACCCCAAGTTGGTCTGACAGCTACATCCCGGCTGCATCGCTCCCCCTCATCTCCTCCTCCCTGCCCTCCCCTCTGGCCGTACCCGGGTCATCTAGCTGACGTTCGCTGTTCGCTTCCAGGGTCGTTCAGAGGAGGAGGAGGAGGAGGAGAAGGAGGAGGGGGAGGAGAAGGAGGAGGAGGAGGAGGAGGAGGAGGAGGTGTAGGAGGAGGCGGTGTAGGAGGAGGAGGAGGAGGAGGAGGAGGAGGAGGAGGAGGTGGGGGAGGAGGAGGAGGTGAAGGAGGTGGAGGAGGAGGAGGAGGAGGAGGTGTCTCCGCCGATGCCTCGGCGCCCTGCCGGGCTCGGCCGGGGGGCAGCCCCGCAGCGGCTCTCGGAGCATGCCGCAGCGGCGGTGCCGCCGCGGGCGGGCTGCGGCCTCGCCTCGGCGGTTGGCCGGCCAGGGACTCCCAGGAGGAGGCGTCGTCCATACAGTCGGGGCGCTGAAGAAGGAACGCTTTTCGTTGGGGAGGGGCTCTGTGTTCCTTGATTGTTTCACAGCTTGCCCTAGGTTTTCCTCAGGTGTTTGATGGGAAATCGAACCTTCACTGATGGGAAAATGGGGCCTCGTTCCTTATTTAGGGTTCCTTAGGTCAACGCCCCGACTGTACCGCTACAGCGTAGACCCATGCCCAAAAAAACGCCCTGCTTGCCTCCAGTGTGCCCTCGGTTCCTTTTGGGCTTCCATGGTTTTGCGATGGAAAGCGTGACATCCCCAGACCAAGAATCAATGGTCGTTCTGGGGTCTCCGGGAAGGTATTTGTGGACTGGCCTCCACTGTACCGCTACCCTTGCCTCGATTTCGCCTTTGTCTGGACCTCCCAGGAGGCCCTCGTCGCCACCGCTGGATTCGCCATACTGACGCCGATGCCCTTCCCTCGTTCGCGCCCTGTCTTGGCCTCCCCGGCGGCCCTCGTCGCCCCGGTTGGATTCCCCTCGAGATCCTGGTCGGAACGCGCCCCGGGAGACATGCGGGGAGCAGCGGTATGGGCACCTTTTGGTTTTCCCAGGGGTTGACATTGTTTCTCGTTGCACTGCGCAGCGAGGGGCACCGGCAAGAATGACGGACGTTTGGTGACGCAAGTCGGGATCGCGTCCTTGGTTGGCGACTCGGATTTGGCGCCGTCAGGTAGCGGAATGCGACAGTTTCCGCAGCCAAGTGTACGTGTTTCCCTTCTCTCCTTGTCTTTTTCGCTCGATCTGTTTGTTTGATTTGTTGTGTGTGTGTGTGTGTGTGTGTGTCTCTCTCTCTCTCTCTCTCTCCTTTTCTTTTTTCTTTCGCCCACTCACACACTGTCTCTCCCTCCTTCGCATGGGATTGACAGTTGTCGACATGCAGATGGGTTGCACGAGGCTTCGACACCTTGGTCGGACTAAGTACGTCTTCGAGGCTCGGTCGCGGCCTGGTGCGACCTCGGCCCTCGCCGCGCCGTCGTGCCTCGCGTCATCCGAGATTCAATCCGAGGTCACACGCGCACCTTGGGTTCCTCCCGTCGATCCCTCGTGAAGCTAGGGCCCCCGTGTAGCATCCCGACGGCTGGTCCCGTCGCCTGCAGGCGCGGCCATGCACCCCTGAGTGAGCCAGGTGGCTCGCCCCTGGGCCGCTCGTGGGGCGGTCGCGCAGCCGCCATGCTTTCCCTTCCCTGCCCCTCCCTCCCTCTCGTCTTCGTCGTTGGCGTCGGTCGTCGTCGCCCAGGGTATGCGTTGTGTAAGGTATGTGCCTGCTACGCACAACAGTGATGCCATGGCCTCCGTCGAATCGAATGTAGAGGCCGTTAAACCCGTCTTTGAAAAGAGCAGTCTCCCACCACAGGTGAACCATTGGGGTGAGGAGCCCCTGTAGGTTTTCAAGGAACCTCATGTTGAGTATGAGAAGGAACTCCAGCGCTGGTCAATTGCAGGCAGTCTTCACCTTGCCGCTTGACCCTTTCGCGATGGAATGATGTGTCCAGTGGCCGTTGTTCGATGACGATCCTAAGGGTGCGAACACAGCTTGCTGGAGGCATCTCAAGGTGGGGCACGAGCACCACTGCCCCAAACACGGAAACGCGGATTACGAGAAATGATGGGAGGAAGCTGGACGATTGATGGGCAGTTCAACAGTGGATTGCCGACTTTGCGCCGCGAAGTTTGATTGACATTTACAGCCGCCGTCCGCTGAGCGCCTCCGCGATCGCGAGGAAGGGTGTGAGCCCCGCCTCCACGTAGTCACAACACCCAGTGTGACAAGCTCATCGTTCGATGTGATCTGTCTATGCCAGGAGGCCAGGAACGGCAAATAGCAATGAACCGCACAAGGGAATGCCAACCATGTTTCCAATCGCCCAGCATGGCCACGACCAGCCCCATAGAAGGTCCGGTTTGGTATTTCTACACGATGTCGATTGGCCAGCCATGCAACGTACATGTTATCTCTTCGTCGGCAACATGCAAGACCAGCGCTCGAAGTGACGATGTTGAGCACCAACATGGAGAAGACCCACCAGCGTGTCGCGAGACGTCGACAGAGAGCTCATGGACGCAGGAATAGGAGCATGCGTACTTGAGATGTTCTACCTTTTTCCAAGAGGACCTGACCGTGAGCACACCTCCTCGAAGTGAACGCAGACATATGTACAGGAAGCCGCGCACGGCCCAATCTGTGCGAAGTCGGCTCGTGAAGCTGTCTGGTGTATGCTGCACACGTGACCAAGGGGCAGACGTCGGAGCACCTCGGGCGTCGCGAGAAAGCGATGGCCGCGACCTGATCCGCATTGATGAGCCACACGCATCAGGGCGCAGCGTGCGCTTGAAAGAGGGACAAGTTTATGCTGACAGGGGGTGATCAATGCGGAGAGCAGCTTGAGGAGGGATGGGGGAGAGGGAGGGAGGAGAGGAAAGGAGAGAAGAGGATATTTTATAAGAGGAAAGGAGAGAGAGATGGGAGGGAAGAGAGAAGATGACCAGATGGGAAGGGGAAGGGAGCATCTAATGGGAGGCGGAGTGACAAGGATGGGACCGATGGTGAGGACCACGGTGAGTGCGACGACGATGACAGCAACGACGCCAGTTGGGCCGAGGAGCAGGACGAAGAGAAGGAGCAGACGGATGAGGATGGCGGATGGAGGTCGACGGACAACAGGACGAGGGGGAGGAGGAGCAGGAGGACAACGACAAAGGTGCGCTCAGGTCATCCCCCCCGGATACGCGCCAGGAGGACAAAGACGACGGTGAGGTCGATGCGGAATAGAAGGAGGATCGGTATTGGGGCGGGGTTGGTGTAGAGCGAGGGGGAGCGGGGAGGTGAATGAGGGGGAGGAGGAGAAGGAGGAACGGGAAGAGTAGGACGAGGACGCGGCGATTGAAGTTGACAGGGAGGGCCACCGGATACGCGATGGGTTTCAAACGGAGAGGGAGGAGGAGGAGGAGGAGGAGGAGGAGGAGGAGCAAAAAGATGTGGGTTAGGACGAGTTCTTGAAACAATTAGGATGAGGATGAGGAGGGGGAGGATGAGGATGAGGATGAGGATGGACGAGGAGGGACGAGGAGTGACGATAGGGGCGAGGAGGAGGGGCGACGGAGGGATGGAGGGAGGGAGGGATGAGGAGGAGGAGGAAGATGAGGGGGCGGGACGAGGAGGGAGGAGGAGATTTATGCCTTGCAAGCCCGCGCAAGTCGTTGCCGCTGCTCACCAACCCAAAACTGGCAACGCTGGAGGACGCTCGCCTGCAGGCGCGGGGCTCGCGGGGGTTGCTTCGAGTGCTCCACTCCGCTGAAGGTGAGCAGGCATGGAGGCGAGGTGATGAGGAGGAGAACGTGGAGCGCTCTGTAGCAAACGGATGCACGCTTCTATTATCAGAGAGATGGAGCCGAGCGGTTTTAAACCATCCTTGGGTCCTTGGGTGAAGTGGGATTCCAAGGCCCAGGCTCTGCTTGATTGCTGCTCGTAGTGCTCGAGAGGCTCACGCCATTCCTCCGACCCCGAGACGATCAGAGCAGTGACGGTTCCTTCGAGGGGGGCGGGGCGCGTTTGATTCTTGTTCCAAGATTATGTGTGCGGCCTCCTGGGATCTTCGGGTGGGTCTCGCAGGGGGCGTTTCTAGATGATTTCATCGATCTATCTCTGTAGAGGGGTGGGACATCGCAGGCGGGAGGCTTCTTGGGATCCTGGTCGGGGCGATCGTGGAGGTGTTTGCATACGCAGACTGGGGGCAGAGTGGGTGATGTTTCTGCAGGGTGAGACGCGCAGACGGGAAGTGTGAGAGTGCTGTATGGTATCCACGATACGTTCTGGGCTGGGCTCGAGATTCGTGAGCGTCAGTGTTGTAAGATGTGGGCACATTATCCATCGTCCATCTGTGGGTGTTGTCTTCGCTTAGGTAGTGCATGTTCTGTTCATGTTCTTGATCCTCGTTATGTTAGTCTGCCAGCTTCGGAGGACGAGGCTGGGGATGAGGGTCAGGTGGAGGAGGTGGGAGTTGAAATTCCAGGGGCGGGGTAATAGGACGAGGAGGGGAAACGAAGCAAGAAGCTGCGGAACACGAGCAGAAGAGGTGGGAGGTGATCGCGCGGTCGGTGGAGAGAAAGGGGAGCGAGTGGGGCTTGGCAGAGGGAGCGGAAGGGGGGGAATGGTGCAGAAGGGGGCGGGAGAAGAGGAAGAGGAGGGAAGGCGGAAAAGGCGGGGGGCAAGAGGGGGAGGGCTTGGCGGGGGGATGGGTGGGCGGGGGGGGAGGGGGGCAGGATGGGGGCAGGATGGGGAGGGGACGGGGGGGGGGGAAGGCGGCGATGGGGGCAGGACCGGGGGAGGGGGGCAGGAGGGCGAGGGAGCAGGAAGCGGGGAGGACGGGGGGGGCCGCCAGTGGTGTCGAGGGCAGGAGGGCAGGCCCCTCCCCCCTTCGCCCCTGCGCGCAGGTGCCGAGTGGCAGCTCCTCGCGCAGGACTCTCTGCGCCGTGCGGTCGCCCCTGGGATGTGGGATCCGCGTCGGGCGGAGGAGGGGGGGGGTCGAAGGAGGAGGAGGCGGAAGAGAAGGAGGAGGAAGTGAAGGAGGATTATCTTCGGCGGCGAGCGAGTGAGGAGGGAGTGAGAAGGAGAAGGCCCTCTCAGAAGGCGGCCGGGCCACTAAGAAGCCCTCGCGCCCTCTGAGAAGTCTTCTGCGTCTCCAGGGAAGGCTCAGAAAACTTCTGAGATGGCCGGAGGAAGTCAAGGCTCTTGAGCTAAATTGCTTCACGACCGACTTCGGACACAGGTCCTCAGAGACAGTACACGTGGTGCCGTTTGGGCCCGTTACGTTTTGGTAAAGCTCCAGGCCCCCGTCTGGAGATCGGCTTGTCTTGTCGGTCGTTTTCCTGCCAGAGCCGATGAAGTCTCCTGGAATTGCTGTATGGCCACGTGGTGACCCCCGAAACTCGAAAACGCCTCCCCCGACCCCCTGGACATCCCAAGCGGCCCCAGGAGAGCCCAACAAGAAGCGAAGGAGGAGCCAGAGGACGCGAGTGAAGAGGAGGAGGAGGAGGAGGAGGAGGACCAGTGTAAAACCAAGAGACTTCAACGATGTTGAAATCAACCCTCCCTCCAAACCGCTCTTGACAGGCCCCATACAAGGGTTGATTCCCACTCTGGGAATTGCTTCGTTGGAAGACACCCATTTGAAGACCCTGACGAATGCCAAAACAACGTTTTCAGGATTCCAACGCCACGGATCAACCTGACTGTTGCGCCCTCATATCCCTGAATCCTTCGTAAACACCAATTCTGGTATGTTGATCCTGGGAATCCGTGAAACCCTTGCAAATGTTTAAAACGAATGTACGCGGCGCTAAGGCGAGAGCCACATTTTGAAAAGGAACCGCCCTCCATCCGTGAAACTCATTGCAATGTTTTAAAGTCCAATGTGCGCGGCGCTCAGGCGAGAATCACATGTTGAAAAGGAACCGCCCTCCATCCGTGAAACTCTTGCAATGTTTTAAGTTCCAATGTGCGATGCGCTCAGTCGAGAATCACATGTTGAAAACGACCCGCACTCAATCCGCGAAGCTCTTGCAATGTTTTAAAAACGAATGTGCGCGGCGCTAAGGCGAGCGCCACATTCTGAAATTCACACGCCCTCAACTTGTGAAACTGTTGGCAATGTTTAAGCTTCAGGGTCATCAATGGTGAGGAAGTCTCTGGCGAAACGCCCGGACCGCCCTAAAAACTTGCCTCGTGGCGCGACAGGGAGAAGTTATGCATAAGGAAAAAGAGTGGAGGAGGAGGAGGAGGAGGAGGAGGAGGAGGAGCTGGAGGGAGGGGGGCGGGAACATGGGAAAAGTTAGGGGAAAGATGACGGCGTTGGGAGGCGGTCAGGGGCAACGTTCAGCTTGTTTTTTGTTGCTGGCGCGTGTATCGGCAGTCGTTACTTGGGCCAAGCCCAAGCCCCCCCTGGGTACATGTAACGATGGTCCGTACGAAGGGGGCCGTGACCCACCCCCACATGTTGGTGCTTGCGCGCGTACTGTGGCGATCGCAGCGCACACCCGCTCCGACGTGCCTCCCCCCCCCCCGTACACGCGTCACGGTCGGACCGAATTTCAAGATCGAGGTCGGTTCGGGGAGGGTATTTGAATGTTGTTCATGTTTGTTGGATGCTGTGTATCCCCGGGGAGGGTGCCCTCGAATGTTTTTCCGTTTGGCCGGCGGAGGGTCTCGTTTTTTTCATGGATGCTCTTCTCCTTTGGGTCTGGCTGTATCGTTATCTTGCCCCCCCTGGTCACGACCATTCGCATTGGAAATTTTAAAGGATACATTCTCGTTCGGGAGGAGAGGCTCATGGGGGTGGTGCATCGAGCCCCGATCGCCCATCGATCGCCCAAACAGGGAGCCGAATGGCCCACCCCGCCCAGGATCGTGCGGAAGCGTTGTCGCGGCCCTACCGCCGGTGCACCTGCGATGCTGCCGATTTCAGCTCGATGTGTCCCCCACCCCCCTGAGCTGGTCTCCCACGATCGTTGCCTGCCAATGTCGGGTCGGGCGAAAGGGGGGGTTTGGGAAAGGGGGGGTTACGAAATCTGCTGCATGTAGCTGGTTTCGGCCTCGCCGCCGGGTCCATTCCTCGATACATGGGCGCCTTCTGGCGCCGGGCGACGCCGGGAAAATCAGCTACGTGAGCTGATTCTCAAATCTCCCCTTTGCTATCCCCCCCTTTCGCCCGACCCGACAATGGGAGAGGGAAGCAAGGATCGGGATGAAGCCATGGTTCAGGAGGAGAAAAACACACAGACACAATTAATCGTCGACTCCCAGGAATATCGGAAAACATGGGAATTGGGGGGAAAGACAAAAACCCAGAAAATATGGGGAATCATTTTATTTGTGTGTATTTATTTGTGTGTCCTTGTGCCCCTTGAATGGTGTCCTGCTGCTTCTCGCTGCTCTCGGCCTCCAGTGGCCGTCCACGCGGATCCCAGGGCTGTCCTTGGAAGCACCTCCGCGCGAGGAGCTGGCCCTGCGAGGTTCGAAGGAAGGCCCCGGGCTCCGGACCCTCCCACAGGACCCATTCGCTTCATGCCAGAGGGAGCAGGATGTGGACTTTGGCCAACGGGAGGAGCTGGGAGGCTAGGCGGAGGCAGGGAGGGGGGATCAGGCGGGAGGGAGGAGGAGGTGGAGACGAGTGGGCAGGATGAGATGAACGGGGAAGATCCGGCGGGGGGGCGTGGAAGAGTCACGGGGGGGCGTGGGGGGGGAATTGGGAAACCGGTGCCCGGGGGGAAGACACCGCATCACCGGCCCCTCGCGCTTGAGGGGGAAAGTGGCGGAGGGGAGTTCAGACTCAGCATTCACCCCTCGCGCCTGCAAACGATGACGACTACTGCGCCGACAATCAACGACGGCGAGCCTGACTTGCTGTGATGTCTCGCTCGAGCCGCCCGTCTGGGCCCGCCCGCCTGTCAGGGTCTGACCGCTCGCTGGCACGGAGAAGCCCGCCCGCCTTCGTGTTCCGTCCGTCCGCCCGCGCGTTTGTTGTGGTGTGCGCCCGCACATCCCGCCCGTGACGGTCCGACCGCTGACTTGCAGGAGAGCCCGCCCGCCTACGTCGGTGTCCCGTCCGCCCGACACCGTGAGGGTCTGCCCGCCCGGCCCGCCCGTGAGGGTTTGCCCGCCACAGCCGTCTTCTGGGGCCAGCCCGCCCGGCCCGCTTGCTGGAGCTCTGCCAGCTTTCCGAGGTTCAGAGTTTGTCGACCAGCCCTTCGGAGGGTCAAACAGTTGTCTTGGGGCTTCGTGGAGGGCAGTGCTGTATAAATGAACAGCGAGGTTCGTTTTGCGAGTGTCTCGGGGCCTTCATGAGGCCCAGCTGCCCTAAACTCACCAGGCCATGTTGCATCAGACTGTGTAAACATTGTTAAGAGCTTCTCTCTCCTCAGGCTCGCGCAGCTGTCTGATCGAAGTCTATGCTGGCCACCTCTTGCAGGCTGGAGGTGAAGAGAGTGTTGGGCAGGCTGGGTTGGCTGTGCGCGGGAGGTCTCGCCAGGATGATGACAGTGCCTCGGCGGAAACCAGTTTCTGGAGGCAGGGGCGCCGACCGCCTGGTCAAGGTGGCGCTTTGATCGCCGCCCTGACCGTGGCCCAGATTTTTTGAGCAGCTGCATCGAGACAATGAGTATGCCACAGCGTCCCTTGGCCATGAACGGACTCCCAAAGCTCAGCCCCCGAAAGCCAGGAGAGGCCCATGTGTGCAGACACCCTGGTACCCTGCAGAAGTGATTCAGATGTTTGCAGGTGCACAGGTCTCGGGTCTCGGTGGCCTCGACACCCTGCCCTACAGCCCATGCCCTGGCCTTCGGAGTTCGCCTACGTCGGAGATTAAGTCTCAGAGTCACGTGTGAATTGCGTTCACCTGCAGTGATGACTCCAGTGTCTCCTCTTGACAGGGATATACAGTGCACAGTTCACTCGACAGGTTCAAAGGCTTGAAAAACGGACCTTTTGACAGCCGTGCTTCCGAATTTGGAAAACTTCTGTTTTGGGTGTTCTTACTCGTGGCCATCACCCAGAGCGCCAAGACGTCGGAGAGAACTGCCCACTGCCATACGTTGGGTTGGCTTGGCAGCTCGCCTGCACTCGGTGGGGGAGGCCCGGAGGATCGAGGAAGTGCCGGCACCTTTACAGGCCGCTTCTTGCAGCAGTTTAGCCTTAACCCGGGCATTTCCCTCTACAGGAGGAACATACAACAATAGTACAGCAATAGTCTGGTGACGATGTTTCGTGCTCTTTTTTGATTGACTATGTTCGAATCTTGTTGCATTCCCTACCTAGGCTCTGCCTAGAAGGGTTCGTACTCTCTGGGCTTAAAGGGCCCGGCAGTGCAAATCGCCCCGGGCGGTTCCCCCAGTATCCGCCCCGCGGTTCCACCCAGTCACGTCCCTTTAGCTTAGCGTTGCTTATCGCATCTTAGCTTAGCTTATTTCACATGTTTTTCGCTTAGCTTCATCTTAGCTCAGGTTTATCTTAGCTTAGCGTACCTTCATCTTAGCTTCGTTGAGTTGTAGCATAGCAGAGCGCATCATAGCATAGCAACGCGTTGCATAGCATAGCGTAGCATAGCATAGTAGCATCGCGCAGCGCAGCACAGCACAGCACAGCGCAACATAGCATGGCATAGCATAGCCGAGTATGGCATAGCATAGCATAGCATAGCACAGCGCAGCTGAGCATATTATAGCATAACATAGCATAGCACAGCGCAGCACGACATAGCATGGCTCAGCCTAGCAAAGCATAGCATATCGCAGCATAGCATAGCATAGCGCAGCTTAGCATAGTATAGCATATTATAGCATCGCATAGCACGGCGCAGCATGCCATATCATAGCTCCGCATAGCACAGCATAGCATAGTGCAGCATAGCATAGCATAGCATATCATAGCATACCATAACATAACATATGATATCATATAATTGTAGAGCATAGCGCAGCTTAGCATAGTATATCATAGCATAGCATAGCCTAGCATGACATAACAGAGCTCAACATCGCATAGCATAGCATAGCGCGGCATAGCATGGCATAGCATAGCATAGCATAGCATAGCAACTAATGCTGCTTTCCTAGGGGCTCCAACTTCTAGGTAGGGTCGCACTGGGGTAATGTGTTTCATGTTTCTTCCAGAATCCGCCTGCAGGAGGACATGCCCGATCTAAGCTTAGCCCGAGTTTCTGATGACCAGCAAACAGCATCTCAGGAGCTCCGCCGTGTCGCCACTGGCCACCGTACAGCGGAAGAGGAGGAGGAAGGCCCCGAGCATCGTGGCTAGGATAACGGCGAGAGGTCCGACGAATCACTGTCTGCACGCCTGGGGTGGCCTCGTAGGAGCTCTCGTGTCCTTTCCTGCTGCATCGCTCCTTTCATTCTTGGCTCCTTTGCCTGTGGGTGCTGGGTGTTGGCTTTTCCCCTCTCGTGTTGTTCCCTCCTGCATTCAGTCTGGGCAGGACGAGCCACTCGCCTCTTTGGCCAGGCGTCCTGCCCTTCCCCTCTGGCCCGTCGGGCCCCAGCAGGGATGTGCAGTCTTCAGCCTCGGTGTCTTGGCCTTTCGGCCGCGCCAAGTGGCACTGGTCTTCGCTCCGTGGGTTGGCCGCCGCCGCTCCGCCATCTGCAGTGTGGTGCGGGGGCCCCCCCCTACAGCGCTGTGTGGCCGGTGGTTCTTGAGGGTCTGCTCGTGGTTCTTGAAGCGTGTGGTGAGGGTGGCGAATGGTTCTGTACGGCCAGGGGTTCTCGAGCGTGTTGTGAGGGTGGCCGGCCGCTGCGCTGTACGGCCAGTGGCTCCTGAGGATCTGTTTGTGCCCCCCTTTCTGAGCTCTGAAGGTGTTCGTCCACCTCGGCGCACGGGCTTTGCGGCAGAGGTGGCCTCTCCAGCTGCAGAAGGTGAACCAGAGGCTGATGTGTGGAGCAGATCCTGCTCCTCGACACTCCCCACTGCTCTGCGTCTCCGCCTGGTCCGCCGCGGACACACGCGGGGCCCGTGTCGGACCAGCCTAGAGTCGAGTTCCCGAGCGTTCTGGAACGCTCTCAGAGCGTTCTGGAACGCTCTGAAACAGCCGCGGTGCCCGATACATCCTCCAGACCTGCCGATTCCCAGAGACCTGATCCGATCTATATCGGCCCGATGAGTCCGATGTTGTTTCGATTGGCTCCGCCCGATGCTGTCTCGATTTTTTCGCGGTCCGATGCTGCCTCCATCTTGATATGCCTCGGTTCCTACCAGTCCAGTGTGGTTCGTCCGATGCTGTCTCGAGCAAGATCGGCCCGATGCTGCCTCGAGTTGTACCGATCCGAGGTGCCTTCGGCCCGCCGGGCGCGCGCGCAGCCCCGAGAGGATGTCCTCGCCGGCGGCCTCGCCGCCGCCGGGCGGGCGGTCGCCGGCGGCCTCGCCGCCGCCCAGCCGCCGGTGACGGCGCGGGCGGTGCACAGGGCGCTGGGTGCCCCACGAGTGCCTCCGCGGCAGGGTGCACGAGGGGAGGGCGGGGGGCGGGGACGAGGGGATCCCAGAGGTGATGGGCCTGTTTTCCACCACCACGAGGCTCCCCTCCTCCTCCTCCTCCTCCTCCTCCTCCTCCTCTCCTCCTCCTCCTCGTCCTCCTCCTCCTCCTCCTCCTCCTCCTCCTCCTCCTCCTCCTCCTCCTCTTTCTCCTCCTCCCTCTCTTACCCATGGTAGCAGTGGTGGAAGATCGGCGCATCAAGAGATCCTACGCTTCCAAACAATGGAGCTGGCAGTTCTTGGCTGTGTTCGGCCTTCGGGGCCCTTCGCCGAGCCTCGGGGCCGTCAAACAGACTTGCTTCAGGACGACGACCCGGCCCCATAGGGAAGTGGTCCAGCAGCGAAGGACATGGAGCAGCCCGATGCTTGGGATTGGGTGTGGGGCGGGGGGGTGGAGCGCACGGTCACGAGCGATTTGGTGCCCCACCCTATCCCCGAGTCAACCCCCCCGAAAAGCTGGGGCGTTCGGAAGGGGGGGGATGGATCTTCGAGGATACACCACTCAGGGAGCTTGTTCGGACACATCCATATCGAGATCGGACGCCCACCCGTCGTATATCCCAGGGTTAGGCTTGAAATTTCTGGTCCTGTCGAAAACCATCCAAAGTCGGCGGTTGGGGTCGGCATATCCTCGATTCACGGGAGACGGCGTCGGGCTGGCGGATTATTTCTTTGGAGAGTACATTGTCCTCTCGTGCGGATCTTTGGCGTCAGGAGCATGTTGCATGGGAAGGGTGAGGCGAACATCTAGAACAGAAGGGAAGTATTGTGAATCCTGGGATTTGTCTCTATCTCTTTGTGTATCCCTGGGCAGCTTCAGTCTACTTGCTCATTCGTGCAGTTTCGCCCTTCGTCCCCCCAGCAGCGGACCCCCGCCATGCCAACGGCAGCGCCCGAGGAGCCCATCGAGACCCCGCGGCCCCCCCAGTCTGGCCCACGAGAGCCTCCGCTCCTCGGAGGTCATTCCTGCTCGTCTCGCGGGTGGGGCGTGCGGGGGGGGGGAGGGGGGTCGTCCGCCTCCTCCTCATGTTCATCCTCTCCTTCCTCCTTTCCCTTGTTCTCCTCGTCGTACTCCTCCACCTCCTCCGCCGCCTTGTCCTCCCTCCTCGGCTTCCGTTTTGGGCGCGCGCGAGGCTGACCTAGAATCCTTCGCCTCCTCCTCCTCCTGCTGGAAAGAACGTCGTCCGTAGGCCCCATCCTCCTCCTCCTCCTCCTCGCTCCTTTTCCTCGTCGCTCCTCCTCCTCCTCCTCCTCCTCCTCCTCCTCTTCTTCCTGCTCCTCGCTCCTCCTGCTCCTCCTCATCTTTCTCTTCCTTTTCCTCCTCCTCGCTTCTCCTGCTCCGCCTCCTCCTCATCATCATCTTCCTCCTCCTCGCTCCTCGCTCCTGGCTCCTCGCACCTCGCTCCTCCTCGTCCTCCTCCTCCTCCTCGCTCATCGCTCATCGCTCATCGCCCGTGCTCGGACAGGGCCCGCGGCGGAGGGGGCGGGGCGCCCTGCAGGGGGGCGGGTCGGGGGCGGGCCGCGAGAGCCGCGCGGCGCGCTGCGACAGCCGCGGGCGGCGGCGCGCCGCGGGGCGCGCGCGCAACCGCGGAGCCGCGCGCGGTGAGCGCGACGGCATTGGCCTGCGGCGGCAGGGACTCGGCGCCAGCGGGCGTGGCCCGTCAATCGGTCGGGGCGCAAGAGACGGGGGTCAGAGCAAACGGGGGTCCGTCAGAGCGCCGTATCTTGCAGGATCCTGCAGATGACCAGCCTGGAACATATCCCTATCCCTATGTTGGGCATCGCCTCATCACCATGGCGATTTTAGGGATTTCGTCAGTTTCTGAGGGTGTATCCCTAAGATTGTCATTTCCTTTTAGCGTGTCAATCTTATGGATAGGGACAGGTTCGAGGCTGGTTAGCAGAGCCAGGGGTGCACTGACCCGGGTCTGCGTGCGGGATGTTGCATGATTTTGCAGGCCCGACGGACCCGGGTTTGCATTGACGCGGGTCAGTGGGCTTCCGAACAGCTGGGGCCGATGTCAAATGCCGCTCTCACGTTCTAGCCAGACGCGTCTATGGACACATTGGGTGCCGTGACGTCTGTGGAGACATTCGGGGTGGACGCGTCTATGGACAACGCGGCCTTTGCATTCGGCGCAGTATACGGTCGGAGGAAGGGTAGAGACCCGTCTACGGTGTGTTCGAGACCCGTCTAAAGCAGTTCCCACATGGCACTCCCCAACGCAGGATCCATGCACTATTTCCCGAGGGTTCAGTGCAATGTTCTGAGGTGGCTGTGGGTTGCCAGGTTTGTTGGTTCGTTGGTTGGTTGGTGGGTTGTTAAATGGAAAGTGCGCCTATGGCAGCCCTATGGGGTGAGGAAGAACGATGCGTAAGAGGAGAAGGAGGTGGAGGGGGAGGCCGAACAGGAGGGAGGGGAGGAGGAGGAGGAGGAGGAGGAGGAGGAGGAGGAGGAGGAGGAGGAGGAGGAGGAGGAGTTGGTGAGTGTCGCTGTGCAGATTGAGGACGAGGAGGAGGGAAGGAGGAAGAGGGATTGGACAGGAGATTGGAGGGATGGGAGAATGGGAGAGGAAGTAGGGAGGTAGGGGCAGGGGTACACATGGGGGTGGTGAGTGTAGAGGGGAAGGGGACGAGCAGGCGGAGGAAGCCCTCTGCAAGACTTCACCGCTGGGCGTCTAGTACGCATTCCATGCTGGTGGCCCCCAATCCCGTCATCCGCGCTGCGTCACAGGCCGAGAGCGCAGAGTGTGTCGCGAGGCGGCGAGAAAGCGCTCCATCTCGATTTTTCCACCAGCCAGGTGAAGACAGCATCGGCAATGTCCCGAGGTCCATCCCGTGCACTGAATGAGTGGATCTCTCTCTCTCTCTCTTTCTCTGTTTGCATGTGTGTGTGTGTCTCTCTCTCTCTCTCTCTCTCTTTTGCTTTTCAACTCGCTCTCTTTCTCTCTCTCTCTCTCTCCCTCTCAATGTCTCTCTTCTTTATGTTTGGTCTCTCTCTCTCTCTCTCCTGTTGTCTATCGTCGTCTCTCTGTATGTCTGGAGATATGCGTATACAGACTGACCGGAAGACAGGCCGACAGGCGACAAGCAGTCACACATATATACATATGTATATACACATATATAGATCTGGCTGGAGTTTCTCGGAGATCGCCAGAGCGTGGACGATATGTCCACTGTCCTGAAAGTCGGGCTTCTATGTTACACGCTGACAGTCTACATGCGTCTCATGTCTTGGAATCCGGTGTCTCAGCAAGATTACGACAAACGCCTGGAGATTTCTAAGGAGCTCGAACACATAGAGGCCGTCCTCCTCTCTGGAACGCAGACCAAGACCACGTCCTCCTACGAGACGCACTCGACAGCGGAGTTTCTCATGCTGAAATTTGGATGGCATCGCAGTAATAAGAACACGACAGGCAACAAATCATGCGGCACTGAGATTTGGCTGAGCAGACGATGGTTTCGGAAGACACACATAGTCAAGATCTGGCAGCCTCCACCCGCTCTCCGCGGCCGTGTAGGCGCTACGCGCGTGAAGAGCGCGCTGTCCGACTTCACTTTCATCACAGCATACTTCCCTCCGAGATCGCAGCGCATCGCCGCTGCCTCCAAGAACGCAGGCATCATCGACACAATGCTTCCATGCATGCGGTCAGCAGCACTACGCGGGCGAAACTTTCCACACGTTTCTGAAGGACTACGCCCTGTGCGCGTCGAGCACGCACTACCCGTGCGGCCCTACTTATCACGGCCTACGAGGGCATTCGAGCTACATCGATTACCTGGTGATGCCGATACGCTATCTACCGCGAGTACGTCGCCATAACATCGCTTACCGCCTGACCAAACGACTCCGAGCATTTCCGTCCCAACGACTACTGGATCACATGATGCTGTACATCGACGTGGACGGCACCCTAACTTGCGACAAACCCCAGACAACGCCGCAGTGGGACTACTCACGAATATTCTTGGCACGGAAAGATGAACGATTCTACGAATGGGCGAAGCAGCTACGTGACGACATTGACTCTGACCTGTATAACTACCTCAATGAGAAGGGCTACCGTGATATGGCAGACTGGGCTGAAAGACACACGATGGAATCTGGATGGCAACTATTGGTATCTAAGATACGCACACGAGCTCTGTAATATTTTGAAGCAAGGAAGTCCACGATCGAGCTTGAGTACCAGCAGCTAGCAGAGCAACGTCGTCAAGCCCTACACGCACGCACGCAGGCTCGGCAGACTTTAACAAACGACCTAGAGGACACGCTCGCTCTTCACCGCTGCAGCGCTGCATGCAAAAAACTTCGACGTCGATTACGTGACCTTCGAGATGAACAGCACTGTCGCGAACTACAACAAGCTGATGAGGCAGGACTGGAAGCAGAGGTTTGGCGAGCTTGCCGACGCCTTGCAGGCAATGGAAAGGGCCCTGGCAAACGTTGCTACTTCGATCTCCCCGACGCTCGCCCCTCTGTTCAAACATGGACTGAAGATATGGCACTTCCTGGCGCGGAAGGAGGAATGGAGGCGGCACCGATTGAGATCGATCACTTCATCGACACCGCTGCGTCGAACGACGAGCGTTTCTGCCCTTCTGCACATCAGTGGAGACACGCCCAGTACGACTTCGACGCGATCAAACGCCAGCTACGGAAGCATTGCAAACGCCGACGAGCTGCTCCCGAATGGTCGCTACCTGCAGAGATCTGGTCTCTTTTGCTCGCCGATAGAAGTGATGATCGTAAAAAAGACGGCAGCCGTGAGTCCGACCACACGATGATCTTCCCTGGCCCCCTCCTCGGCGATGCAATTCTCACCCAACTTGCTGCGGTTCGTCAACACCAACGGCTCAATGCTTGGTGGAACCTCTCTCAGACTTATCAAGTAAGCAATATGAACAATAAACCACGTACTCGAGGCACTCGATTACTACATGGATTATGCACGTTCGGAAAGA